CAACGGGCAAGGGGCCGTGGGAACGTCCCGGATACTGCCGTACCCCTGTTGTCACTGTGCTCGACGTTGCCCGACGCGTTGTCGACGATGTCGACGAAGGTTGTGCTGAAACTCCCAAACAAATACTGAAAAAATTGCAATCCTTCTGAACAGGCATAAATTTGCAACTATTAGGGTGTAAATGTCTAGAAATGTATAGGTGTTGTATGAAAGTTTGCCCTCGAAGAGTGTGCTGGATAGTGTGGCCATATTAGATTTGTCTTGTTGAAGTTCATCGTGGGTCGCGTCACAGATACCACACCACCGCATTTATTCTGCCGCTATTTGTACTCATCTCCTGCCCATGCAGCATTTGCAGCTAACAGAGCACACATGTTGCTGAAGCCCGCAAGGCTGGCCAAGGGTGTGTGGCAGACGCCACAATTTCCTTCCCACACTTGCCGACTACCTAATGCGGTAGCAGGTCGGGACCGTCGAACATGCGTGTGTTTGCTCCCTTGCAATTCGCCGCGATGCGTTACTAGTAGTATAGGGGGAATGCGCAACGGCGTCGGATATGGATTAGTTTCATTGACATTGGTGCGCACGTCAATGCTCCCTATCGCAATTGTAGAGTTTGTCTTTATATTGAACGCACCTCTTGACTCGCAACATTGATTGTCAATGTGCAACGACTTCTCGCATAGCTCCTCAAATGAACAGAATAATTGATATTAAATAGGTTGGTACAATAAGCTCAGAAGGAACCAATTTTTTCCGTGTATTTTTAGGAATATTCATCGCTTAACATTTGTCGACATCGCCGACAACAGCGTCGACAACGCGTCGGGCAACGTCGAGCACAGTGACAACAGGGGTACGGCAGTATCCGGGACGTTCCCACGGCCCCTTGCCCGTTGCTCTCAGCGGGATTCGAACTCACGGCGTGCCCTCAGCCAAACGCAAGTGCGAAGTGCAAATGCAAAATAGACCTGACACTCCTGGTCAACCGTAGTATCTCTATTCAATTGTGTACTGTACGACACAACACTGTATATAGCCGCTCGTTAGTGTGATACGTATACGCGCTATTGACCTCGCAGATCCGAGTGTCCTGTCAGTGGCGTCCAGTCTTGCGGGATAATGCAGCGGTAAAGATGTTATTTTTAGATACCTTGCATTGGCCATGATTGGGTGCCTCACATGGGGATGCACAAAGTCCTTGTTCCGCAAATTTAAATACGTACTCCAGGAAGAGGATTTCTCGAGGCCGTCCGGACTCACACATCAGATAATGCGGGTATCGGGCACGTTTTGTTTGTATATCGGACTGGCTTGCGATTCTTGACCGCATCTGCCAACCACAGTAGAGAGTGACAAAAGCTTCCAGTCAGGGAAGATCTATGTAGACAAAGCCGTGACGATTGTACCTGTATGCACCTTTTCCTTTTCATACGAGAAAGGAAAACAACAGGTGCGCGTGCATCTGTCACAGCAGCCCATGTATCACTCGTAACGTATGGTTTATCAATATGAACAACAGCCGATGTCGTATGTAGATGCATGGAAGAACGAGGGACTCGGGGCATTGACAAGCGATGTCTGAGTGGGGCCGAGGTGGTGATTCGAGTTCGGGGGAGGAGGGGGGAGGTTGTTACCATGCGACCGCGAAACCGATGGAGCACGTATGATGGGTAAGAATAGTCGACTCGGAGGGAACTTCCTGTTGATTTTGGGCTTTCAGAGGAGGTAAATGGTATGTCCCCCAGCGGCGACCGCGGTAAGAAGGCGACTAGGAGTTCGTAAGGGATACTGACCACAGACTGGATTGTGGAGATACGACAGCCGCAGAAGGACGCGCAGGCAAGCTGGTAGAATACCGATCCGATCCAATCCGAGGACATGCCAGTATACGATATCGGCGAAGCATAACCTTGTACTCTTCATGCCATCCTCCGGTCTGAAGAATACAGATCCCGCATTCCAAAGCGCGAAAGGAAAGACTCTGCCACACAGAGTTGCAATTGCCGGAATCTCAGAGTGAATTCAGCGCTAGCCATACCGGAAGCGGCGGAAGAAACACCGCGCCTGAGATCAGTGCCACATCTTTAGCAGACAGGACTTCCCTGCGAGAGCCCCGAGTCCGGGGAAAGCTATACAGCATCCGGAAGGAGAAGCCCGTTCGACTTTGCTGGTTCCCGGGTCGGGTGGGCGGTTCCGTGAGATGCAGCGTATCTCGAAATCATGGCTGTAGAACCTACGGCGAATACGGAACATGGCAAGCGGGAGAGGATCTCGAATAGTCTTCCTACGCCGCGGAGGAAGAGGGATACTACGCGGGTTGTAGCTAAGAATCCCAGATGGGGACATGATTGCCCGGCGTGATAGCCCTTGAGAATCCCGGAAAGATATTCCAGGGTTTCCGGAGGTAAACTCGAACGGCAACGTGACAGCGTCCAGCAACCCAACTGCGATCTGGCGGCATCCGTAGACCGCAGCTGCTGAGATAAAGACGATCAGCATTGAATAGGTGACCGGGGAGGTATAGCGGCAGATAACTCACCGGGAAAGGGAATGCCTGTATGTGCAGCCGATAAGGAGGGATGGGCGCATGAGCGACAGCTCTGCATTTGAGCAGGCTGATGCCACTCAAGTTGGCGTAGCTTGATCTCAGCGCCTCTAGATCTGGGACGTCGAGTAACGGTACCGGCTCCATATTATCAGGCTCGAGGCCTTTGAGCGGGGTAATGCGTATATACGAGCAGCAGACCGCACCGTGATCGCGTCGCGTTGGTGGCATATCCTTGATGATGAGTAGAGACAGACCAGAAGCAGGCGGGTAAGGTAATGCTGGAAGTGCTAGATGCTTGGTGTCGACATCTCTAGCAACAATCAATTAATTGCTTGTAAACTTACTCCTGAATGATCTTCAGGATAAGGAAACAGAACCATGCAATAGGAAATCAACGGGAGACGGCGCCATTGATACATCCGTCAGTTCTAGCAAGAGCGAACATACAATAGGTGTCGCCGGTGGGTGCAGCGGAGAGCTAGGTTGCCTGAGCAACCTGTGAATGAAGTCAATGGTTACTCTGCGGATGAATGATTGTCAAAGGACAGGAATAGCGGAGGAATCCTGGTATACGGGCAGCCCATGCCAAAAGTACTCCCTTCGAGGCAACACGAATACGACTTACTGAATAGGTTGAAGCGGACTTTAGCCGCTATGTTCGTAGATATGGTCAGGAATAGTAGCGTGCTCCTCCGATGCGGCCCTGGGATGTGGCAGTTCACCACTGTCCGTGAAGTGGGACCATGTCACGCTCAAGGACAGGTAAGATATTCCTAGACGCAAATCGCCACCGCATGAGGGTCCTGAAATATCCATAGAGCGGTAGAACGTCGGACAGTTGACACCGTAATGAATGCTGCGCGGGAACGGGCCAGTCATGCAGACAAGAATTTCATGTCACCGAAGGGACTAGTACTTTCGGGAGTGGGCAAACATAAACTTCAGGACAGAATTCGCCGCGACAAGCATACCAGCGATAGGCTAGTTTTACGGGGAGAGCATACATTCGGTGTAGTCAGCAGCGAATGAGATATGTCACTTTACTGGTATCGAGAGCGGCTGACCAGAACCCTGTGTCTCTTGTGTGCACTTGACAGTGTTTAGACGATGGAGTTGATAAACTCTAGCCTAAGCTAGTCCTGAGAGTACAGGAGAGACTCGGACGGCACTTAGCATCAAACCGAGGTGTCCAACTGATAACATTGGGCCGAAAAAGCAGCTGCAAGTGAAGTCATGGGCACGGCGAGTGGTCGGCATGGGCCAGTGCTCGCCCGGAGCTGACGGCGGACCCGAGGCTTCGGAAACGTGGCCGCGTTTGATCTGATCTTATCGAGATGGGCGTCAGGTAGATCTGGCACGTCACTGTGCCGGCATTGGCCGGCACGGGCTCCCCAAACACGATCGCGTTTTGGTTATGGACGTTGGAGCGACTTGTTTGATTTGCTTGATTCTTTGTTCTCAAGGCTTCAATTTCTCATGACAGACAGAACAACGTTACCTCGCAGGGAATCCTGTTGTTCAAGGCATCGCACAGCAGGAAACATGTGTCGCGTGTCTGGGCTCGACATCAGGGACCGGGCGCAGTCGAGGAGGCCCGGACAGAACGATTTACACGAAGGCTGGGGTTCGCCGTGGGCGGCGAGCAAACTCCAAACCCCTCACATCACCGGCGTGACGGATCCCAGTTCTATCGGACCGAGGCACCCCACTAAACCAAAATAACCGAATGACATACCCCCGCCCTTGCTCCCCTGCCGACTCGCCTGGTTTATGCATTTTTTAATTTACGCTGGCTAAACGCTGTGACATGTCCCGGCTCTGGACTTGTACGGTTATGTTGCCGTTACAGGGCCTTCCATTCATAGCTCACCATAACAAGGTCAGTCACTCCTGTTCTCTGCGCTCTGACCATCCACCCGCCACAGATCTCCTTCCCCGCCAGGCATCACCGACCCGCTCTCTATAATGGCTGTCGCAACCATCTCTGCCGTTACCTCCCTCCCGACTCCCCCTCCGTCCCAGCTCTCCTTTGACATGGCCTCGACATCCAAGTCCCCCCTCGCAGGCATGCCCATCGACCAGCATGTCGCCGGTCTTGCAATATCCGCTGAGGTCCCGACACCGCAGCAGACGCGAGTGCGCTACGAGCGCAAGCTGGGCGATAGTGAACTCTCCTACTATCTGCCTTCGCGGGCCAATGGAGTCAACGACATGTTCGTTCATGTGCTTTCATACGTCGCGTGGTACTAAACGTACCACAGGTATCTCCACCTCGGATTCAAGGCCCCCGAACATTTCACCACTCGAGCCCGAGTCAGCACGGTATGGGCCATCATGAGATTGCGCCATCCGCTCCTCGCTGCTCGAGTAGACATGCAGGAGGGCGTGTACGATGATGTGCGATTCGTGTAAGCTATACCGTCATACGTACCCTCGGTGGTTCCTGAGCAATGTGCTTCACAGATACTACTCGCCGTCATCTGTCGATGATGCAATTTTAGACGCAAGCGAGAACCTGGAATATCGGACGCAAGACAAAGACGAGCTGATCAGCTCGTATCTGAATGGCCCGCGCACTCTGTCGAACGATCGGGTATCCTACCTCATCCTTTCGCAACCATCTTCGCAGCTCATCCCATCTCCCCCTCGCACGCCCACCTCCTCTACAAGCAGTTCATCCCAAGACGCCCCTTCGGAAATCGAAGGCAGCTACGACCTCCTCATCTGTGCCGCCCACTTCCTGGGCGACGGCATGGCGCTGCACCAGTTCGCACACGACTTTTTTACACTGCTCGGCGGCGAGAAGACGCAATCTGAGCTCGTCGAGCTCCTGCGTCACGAGTGGGAGTCCCGCAGGACCGCCGACGTCCTGCCCCCCGCCCTGGAAGACAACCTGCCCGTGACGGGCAACAAATTCCGCAGGGCTGCCGTGAAGGTGGAGTTCCAGAAGAACCAGGACAGGCTGATCGGCGGGCAGACGTTCTCGCGCGCGGCGGGGAAGCCGAGGCGCACGATCGTGCCCACGGTCGCGTTTGATGAGGAGAGGACGAGGGCGATGTTGAAGCGATGTAAGGAGAATGGGGTGTCGATATCGGCTGCGCTGTTCGCGCTGTGTAATGTCGTGTGGGCGAGGATGGCCAGCAAGAAGGAGTTGCCGATGTAAGCATACATGCCTGTTCACATCGCATGGGCTTGGCTGATAAGTTATACAGGATGATGTACTCTGCTCTGAACCTCCGACCCTACTTCCCAGTCCAGCCTCCGCACCCGTCCTACTGGTTCCTCGCCGTAGGCTACTTCAACGTCATCCTCCCGTCCTTCCTCCCGTCCGATTGCGACGAGCGCAGGATCTTCTGGCACCGCGCGCGGCAGGCGAAGGCGCAGTCGGCCGCGGCGGCGAAGAGCAAGATGATCAAGGAGCGGACGCAGGAGATGGCGAAGGAGCGCGGGGCGCGCGCGAGGCAGTGGGCTGGGGAGGATGATGAGAAAGAGAGGATGGAGCAGGCGAAGGCGGCGGGGGTTGTCCTGCCCGCCGCCGCTCCTGCTCTTGCTCCTGCTCAGCAACCTAAGCCTCCAGCGAAGGTAAACCCGAAGCCGCCCTCGCAAGCCCTCATCGGCTTGTCCCTCCTCGGGAACCTCGACGGGATCTACAAGCACCAGTCGTTCCCTGCGATCAAGATGCACACGCTGACCACCGGATCGCGCCAGCGCCCTGGCGGGATGCTGCTGTTCGGGTATACGTTCGTCGGGAAGCTGTGGATCAGTCTTGGGTATGATGTGAACGGTTTTGGGGAGGACGCGGGGGTGTTCTGGGAGAGGCTGATTGACGCTGTGGACGAATTTCTGGGATGAACTGGACTACTGTAAGCTCGAGCTCCGTGTGCGTGATCTACTGGTATGGACGACTTTGCGATGATATTCGGACATCTTGGACTTTGCATATAATATCTGTCTTGCGCTGTAGAACCTAGTGTAGTAGTCTGTCAAACACTGATGTTTGTGTATAGTAAACCAAACTGAATCCGCCTTGCTTTCGAATGTCAGTAATATCTGCCCTGTCTTCTCGCGGCGCCTAATCATCAAGACCTTCTTGTGCATGTTACGCCACAGCGTGGCCCTTCATTCAGCTTTCCTGAGCACTTCAACTGAAAGATAACGAACAGAACCGAGGTCCAACTGGTGTTGCTGTCGGCCCACAAACCCATCTTTCCTGGGGCGCATCAATAGAGGATTACTTTGCGAACCTTGATTAGTTCACTCCTGGATGATATTCGACTCGCACTACAACATCCGCGAACCCCGCCACGTTTCGTGCAAGCATATCCACAGTACAAGTAATAACCACGCAAGTTGACAGCTCAAGGCACCGTTAGGCGTTCTGGCATCCCGCCGGATGTGGACCTGTCATCCTTCTTCCGAAAACTGCTCAGGGGCCCGTCCAAAACATCCGTCCCGCTCAATTAATCGGGAGCGAGCTCTCCCATTCCCCTGGCTGCCCTGGATGTTAATGTGCTTCAGGTTTCAACTGATCGAGGACTAGTGCGGGTGTTATGTCCAAATTTTGATCACAATTCGACGGGGCCCGCCAGGGAGCATGATATTTCGTGCGGCTGCGTCGGTGCTGGTGGTTCATCCAGGACCGCCTGGAGTCGGCTGTTCTCCTGGTTTGCCTGACCTGCTATGCCCGTAACCAGTCGGACGAGAGACGGGTGGCCAGCGACGCCGTCTAGGGAGCCTTTACTGCCCACGCACGAAGATAAAGACGAGTTTATTATGCTCAGGGGTCACTTCAAGCTTCGACACTCCTTGACACGATCATTACTGCGCTACGGCAGCCCGCCCTCTGTTCTAGTCACCTGTGCTCTGCTCCTCTGTGTGGCTTCTTCCGTACTGCTCATATCTACGATCTCGAAATCTGGGTCTTCTCCGTTACCGTTGGATGTGAATGGCACTGGCACAGCTACGACCGAGGTCGTATGCCCGAAGCCACAGTATCCTGACGCCAAAGTTCTTGATCCAAAGGCGTATGTCCTGGGCTCGCCTACTGCGAGGTTCCGAGGTGAGCTCCATCCAGTTTGGTGTACCAGGAATAGTGCTTAATCGTACCTTGTGCCAGATAATCTGAGAAATGACACGAAGTACATCACCTCCTGGGACGCTGCTGGCTGGAGTATGTATTTGGTATACTGATTTCGTGCTCAATGATAACTAATGATAATGTCCAAATCCTGTAGCAAACGATGTCATGGCTCTCGTGGGTCATACTTCGTTTGCATGCTCTCGCGCTGTGATCCTGATTTGTGATATGTACAGGGCAACATGATCTACCTTGGCTCGATAACGGACCGTATCCCGATCATCCCACCATTCACGCCTTCCCACTTGAGCAAGAGCGCAGGCGCTATTAATACTGGGGATATCTTCGACCTGCCTCGACTCTCTGCTCACTTGCAACTGCCTCTAGTCGAATGGCACCAGGTCAAACAAAGCGACAGCGAGGAGATGGACCAACTTGGATGCTGGAGCGTGTGGGAAGCAGCGCACCAAGAGGCGGACGGTACGAGAAGGCCCCGGCCTCATCGAGGGGAGGAGGTGCTTAAGCTAGGTACGATGCATCGTCATTATACGCGGAGACCTGGTGATGAAGCAATATATCTTAGATATCTCATACACGCGTGCACCCGATTTTGTGGCAATGGGACGGGACGATCACGCGCATATGTGGGGATTAGCAGCGCTCGGATTCTCCGAGTACCGCTCTCAGCATCTAAGCGCACCGCACCCCTCAAGTCAAAGCGGAAGTGTTTTATATCCGGACGAGCAGGTGCTGTGCTTCGATCTTCTGTACTACGTCAGCGTCTTCCAAGTAAGTAACTCTTCATCGCCGCGAGTGAGCGACTGACTCTCCTCCAGCCGTTCGAGTACGAACATGAGCATAGCCCCGTATGGAGAGATGTGGTTCGCCACATGAGGTGGACGGAGCGGCTGGAGGGCATAGCTCAAGGTTATATCCGACGAATCCTAGGTGTGCCAGAGGGATCTGATATACCTCCGGTAAGTCGTCGGTGCTGTGCAGGATCTCTGTCCTTGAACTTATCGTGCACCAGTTTATCGCGATTCACTTCCGAAGAGGCGATTTCAAGGTCCACTGTCCCGAGTGGAAGACAGATGGTTGCTTTGCTACCCTAGCGATGTTTGCCCAGGCCGTTTCGGAGGTGCAGGAAGAGCTGTGGGTCCGTAAGGGCATCCGAGTCACCGAAGTAATCATGCACAGTGATGAGCAAGATCCCTCGTGGTGGGACGAGGTCGCTGCGCTTGGTTGGAAGTGGCCAGACCATGGGAGGCAGAGAACGGTTGAAACATACGGACAATGGTGCGCTGAGTCGAAACGTATCAATTGAGTCAATCTTCTTACAACCAGCAGGTATCCAGTGTTGATTGACGCCGTGATTCAATCATCTGGCGTTGGCTTCGTCGGGACGCAGAGGTCTACCATGTCGTTACTTGCTCAAAAACGAACCGAAGAATGGCAGGACGGTGTCATTAGAGAGGTGCGGTGGGGTTAGGATGGTGTAGGTATTGCATAAAAATATTTACTGTATACCGTTGTAACATCTACGGGCGGTGTAATGAGTACAAACTGAAACTGAAGCAGGATCCTCGATAGGCAAGACGTTTGTGGCAATTCTTCCGAATAGGCCGAGTGCTTGATTGATCGGAAAGGGCACCATTCCCACGCTTACCAGGCACTACTGCCTCCCGCCTTAATTACATCCCACTGCTCACGTCACAGACCTGATTAATTAGTGACCCCCGGTAGGTTGGGATTGGTCTGGATACTCGGCCAGTGCAACATGTTTTCCGCGTCCCGGCCATGTTGTCCGTTATCGCCTACTCGCCGTGATGGCATTTCGAGGCGGAGCGACAGCCAAGATCTTGCTCGTCATCCCGCTTCCGAGCTCGAACACTCGCCTTGCGATAACTTGCCACTCTACCACGTTCTCTCAACCCTCCGCTCGTTATACTGTCTGCTCAACTCGTAGATGCGGCGACGATCCAGTACCTTCAATAAAGATGAAAGTGGCTTTTACCTGGGTCATATGCGAAATCCCCCGTCTTCCTGCCGTCGACGTAGACTTCTCTATTTGGTATTTGGAATCCTTGCAGTAACGGTCACCCTGTATTCTGGATTCCTTGTATCTTCTCCAGGTCGAAGAAGAGACCTTCCTACAGAAACAGCTGCCTCGTCGGAGAAACCACAACATGAGGTTGACCGGCTTATTGCAGAATGGGAGGCAGATAAAGACAACGAGAGGTTTGACCCGGCATCTTACCTACTCGGTCCTCCAACCCAATCCTTCCGAGGTGAGTGCGATTATTTGCTGATGAACATCGCCATTGAGACTTCCCCAGATAACCTACGGAATGACACCAAATACATTACTTCCTTCCACAGTGCAGGGTGGAGTAGGTTGTTACACTCACGTTTGATGTTGCTTAGCTGACAATTGAATCTATGAAGCTAACGACGTCATGACTATGGTGAGATGCCCTCGATCCTATTCGAGCAGAAGCAGTAGTATACTAATATCTCATCCACTAGGCCAATCTCATATATCTCGCAAAAATCTCCGATAGAATCCCCATCATCCCTAACTTCACTCCAGAGTATCATGTCGGAGGTCCGGACGTCGAACGGATACCATTTAGCGAAGTATTCGACGTTCCGCGGCTGAGCAAAGCCATAGACTTGCCCATCCTAGAGTGGCATCAAGTGAAGGATACAGAAAGCGAAGAGATAGAGGAACTCGGCTGCTGGAGCGTATGGGCCAGTGTGTCACGCCCGCCGGAAGGCCCCAGAGGTTCCAGAGTACCTAGTGATCTTGGATTAGGTCCGTGATGTGAGCTAGTCTCAGTATCATGCAGCTGATGCCGACATGTGCTAGATATATCTTACACCCCCGTCCCCGACTGGGTGCCTTCGGGGCATAATTCACATACTACGTTCTGGAAGCTTGCGCCTTTGACTTTCCCGGCGACCCGCGCAAAGAATCTTGGGAAGCCAATTCCATCACCCGAGAAAGGTGTTGTCGTGCATCCGGACGAACAACTGGCTTGTTTTGATTATCTATACTATGTCGCTGCACACGAGGTGAGCCGCGCTGATTACTGCGAGGATCCTTGACCCTTGGTTACTGACGGACATCCCTCATATAGGATTTTGAATATGAGCTTGAATTTAGTCCCGCATGGAGACATGTGCTGTATCATTTCAGATGGACACCAACCATACAGAATCTCGCCATATACTATCTTAGACGCGCCCTGAAGGTCGCACCTGGAGCCGACATTGTCATTCCACCCGTAAGCCTGCCATGCTGTCAATAGTCTCGTCAGGGGCCATCTGACCATTCCGCAGTACATCGCTATCCATGCCCGTCATGGTGACTTTGGAATTTCCTGCAAGGAGACTCCAGCCTCTATCAAATGCTTTGCCCCCGTTTCCTCGTTTGCTCAAGCTGTAGCCGAGGTGCAACGGGAGATTCTAGAAAGGGATGGGATCGTCATCCCTAACGAGCACGTCGTGATGACGAGCGACGAGAAGGATCCGGAGTGGTGGGACCTGGTCGCCAGCTATGGCTTCACATGGGTGGACTACAAGAAGGAGAATGTTGTCGAGATCCTCGGCAGATGGTGAGGGTAACGCTTCCCCTGTAAGAATCGTATATTGAAAGAAAACGTTAGGTATCCCACTTTCATCGACGCTGTCATTCAGTCAGGCGGCAGGGGCTTTGTTGGGTGTGAACAGTCGACCATGTCTCTCATAGCTGGCCGCCGTGTGCGGGAATGGCATGGAGGGATCACCAAATTCATCCCCTGGGGACCGGCCAGTCCATGAGTGAGAGGTCTTTCGATAAACTCCAGTCTCATACATCTAGAGTTGTGCTTTGTGCTATCATGTAACGATCAGTTAATATTACTGTACAGTGCTTCTAGTGGTTGGGAACTGATCAAGCTGCTCTAAAACCCTACCGCACCCTGTCAGCGGCCATTGGAGTAGAGTGGGGAGTTCCTACCAACCAACAGTGTTGGCTGACCTGAATTTCCTGCCATACTATACGAACATATGGTACTTTCTGCTGCCCGGCCCTCTACAACAGACCACCCTCCAATCCCACCACAGAGCCGTCTGGTGTCGCGGGCGACCCCTTTGAAGGAGTATCGGCCGTCTAAGCACTGCAACGCGATCCCAATTGTATCGGCGCAGTACGTCCGGACAAATGATGTGTCCTCAACTGAAGACGCTTCAATGCCTGGAGTGGGTGTAGTCCACTAGCATGCCCGATTGGGCGAGCTGCGCCCGTGTTGTAACGCCCTGTAAGGATTGGTTGAGCAATATCGATGTTCTTCGACTCCACCAAAGGCCAGTGACTTGAGCGGCCCACCGCCCGTGATGGAACATCCGTTCGCCCATACGGCATGTACACAAGGCAGCAAGTCACCTACAATGGATTGGGTGGGATGGCGCAACGCATTTTGATGAGATTCAACAACGTGGCGGTCGCCCCCATCTGAATGCCGTATTTCTCCCCCAGCATCAACAAATAACCATTGAGAAAATCGATCTCGGTCTTCTTGCCGTATCGAATGTCGTTCAGCATCGAAGAAAAATTCATCGCTGTCCCCGTCGCAATATTTAGGCAGTTTTGCTCTAAGCCCTCGGCCTTGAGAGATGGCGGCACAGGATCTCCTTGGGGCGCTTCGTCTACGGGATACTCGAATCCCCGCGGCTGAGACCGGATATCCGCGGCAAAGACTTCTTCAGCTTCCTGACACACCCTCCGCATGATGCGAACGCCTTCTTCAGTCTTGAAGATCTCCCCATTCCGACAATTCAGAAGGGCTGTCAGGGGATTGATGACAGCGTTTGCAACAAGCTTCCTGCGCATGGCAAGTTGTAGCTCAGACATGGGCAGCCACTCCGTGTGCAGGTCTTGCATGCTGAGCAATGCAGTCACCGTGTTTCGGAGGGACACGTATTCCGTGGAGTTCGGGTCGTCTTTCGGGAGGGCAATGTCGTTTAGGTTGACTCGCCTCCGATATGGAGGACTAAGAATGCCCCCGGAGTGCATAGAAGCTTCGAAATCTCGACCTCGGGGGTCAGGGACAATGCCAAACTGAATAGCACCTGTACCGGCATGAACGGCGCGGTATGGTCTCTTCAACCAGGCGCCGTGAGTATTCGAGGCAAGAATGAAATGGGGCCGTGTGTCTGGATTCCGGAAAAACTTGTTCGTTATCGATTCATACACACCCATACCGTTTACCATGAGAACGATAGTGCAATGGGGTGACAAGCGAGGGAGGAGTCCTTCGACCACATGCTGTACAGCGTGCGCCTTCGTCGTTATGAACAACGAGTCGATACTGGTATCGGACGAGGTCGCAGGGCTGTCACCGCTTGGCTGGCTGTCCACTGGGACGCCTGTATTCCCTGCTCTGAATTGACGAGCCTCCCTGACCGCCTCTCGATATATTCGACCGATAGGATGGAAGCCTTCATGCCTGAACCCAGTCTCGGTAAGGAACGCGCCATTGTACTCGACACTTAGGTGTCCCCCAAGTCCGCGAGCGTTGTCGGCTAACTCGTTGTTCTTGTGTATGAGTGTGATGGAGTGCTTCGGGTCTACCGCGCGCCGGAGATGGAAGGCCAGTAACGTTCCAATTGAACCTAGACCAGCAACATGAAAGCGCATTCCAAGGAATAAAAGACGGCAGTGGAGTGTAATGATTTATCTGCCTATGCCAATTCAATAACCCTACGCTCGGCAGGACTCAACGATTTGACTTACGTTCTTCTTCCACGTACACGACAGCCACCAGCTAACACTCCAGCATCCCACCTGTCTCTTGAAGTACACGACCAAGGCGGAACTGTCGCTGTGAGGACCCAAAGAGATGCGGTCGCTGACCAGTGCCAACCAAGGGAAGCGGCACTCAGACCCAAACAGGAAATGTTTTCGGCCAACTGCAGCACGGCGATCGACGAGAACTTCCGTGCTCGCAAACATTTGCCTTTTTCGTCTTGTTTTGGCCTGCCATGATTTCATTCCTAGGTCTGTTCTATTCTCAACCATCTCAATCATAAAGTAGCCCTTCCCAGCGCCAAATATCGGAAGATAAGAGCTTCGCAGAGCTACCCACAATGATGACAACTGTCCGTCCAACGTTAACCAAGACGTCATTCTCATCCGTTCCTCCTGTTCCACAGCTATGTTTCCAAGCTTGAGGAGAAATGTCGGATCTGGGCATTGGCCAGTTCAGCAATGGAACAGTTAAACGCTCAAGTTTAGGCGAATAGCAGCCCGGTGGTTATCGTCGTCAGTCATGAGGGCGACTGGCCGCCCCGGTCCGCGCTGCCTGGTACTCCGTTTCCGCGAGTATATATAGCCTTCTCATCAGGCTCGCAATGCTCTATCCCTCAGACGGAACCCTCAACTTTCACAGACCACCTGAGACAACACCTGCAGAGCAATGGCGTCCATCGTGCTGAAGAGAACCGCCCAAAAGGTGCGAAACTCCGGTCTTATCTTGTTGAGCATGAACAATCGCAGATGCCTTTGGTAGGGTGAGTGATACCCAGAGATGTCCCTGGGACGTCCGTGCTAATTGAACGACATCGCATAGCTTTGGTCTGTGGAAGGTATGTCCGCCGGATCGATGAAATATATGTATCTGATTTGTTCGGTGTAGGTCAACAAAGACACTTGCGCCGAGGTACGTCGATGGCACTCTCTCTGGAGAGTAGAGAGGCAAATACAGGCTGCTTTCAGACTGTCTTCAACGCCATCAAGTCTGGATACCGTCTCCTCGACGGTGCCGGTGACTACGGCAATGAGAAACAAGCCGGTGAGGGTGTCAAGAAAGCCATTGAGGCCGGGATCGTAAAGCGGGAGGACCTCTGTGCGCTCTTGTGCATTTATTCCGACGTCTAGCGTGCTAACGCGCCTCTTCAGTCATCACTTCCAAGGCGAGCGCACAGCGATCGTACAGCTGATACATAAAGCTTACCTGCCCATAGCTTTGGAATACCTTCCATGCGAAGGAGCATGTAGCGGCCCTTGCCAGGAAACAATTGGCTGACTGGGGTCTGGACTACTTTGACTTATACCTCGTCCACTTCCCCATCGCCCTCAAGTACGTCGACCCGAGCCACAGATACCCTCCCGAGTGGTTCGGCGATGACGGCAAAGTCTACCTTCGTACGTTTAGCACGCCTTAACAGCGACTTGCAAAGCTGATTATGACGCAAGAAAACACACCCATGATCGAGACATGGCAGGCCATGGAGCAGGTCGTCGACGACGGTCTCGCGAAGAACATTGGTCTGAGGTTAGCATGACGCTTAAAATACGTCTCAGATTGTTGCTGAACGGCAAACTGCAGTAACTGCCAGGGATCGCTGATCCTGGACGTCTTCCGCTACGCTCGCTATGAACCGCAGGTGCTCCAGATCGAGCACCACCCTTACCTGACTCAGGAGCCGTTGATCAATTTGTGCAAGACTCTCGGCATCGCAGTCACCGCGTACTCATCCTTCGGCCCCCAGAGTTACGTGGAGCTCGGCGCCCACAAGGGCGCAGCGAGTCTGCTGCAGCACAACTTGATTGCGGAGATCGCGCATCACAAGGGTAAATGTACGTGGGCTGGTATATCCTTGATGATTCGATATTCTGACTCAATCCTGTCTGTTCCTTGCCACTCCGCAGCCGCGTCCCAGATCCTGCTGCGCTGGGCTACACAAAGAGGACTGGCTGTCGTGCCCAAGTCGAACAATCACAAGCGGTTGCTCCAAAACTTGGAGTGCACCGACTTTGACCTGTCGCCGGAAGAGATGAAGGCGATCAGCGCTCTCAACATCAACTTGAGGGTACGTGTTTCATATGCTGTGAAAAGAGGCGAGATCCTAATACCAGTACTTGCTGTAGTTGAACGACCCTGCGGACATTGATTCCCGCATGGCTATCTTCGCCTAAACGATGCGGATAGGCGTAGTCGTGGAAATAATATTGTACATTAACAGACATGCCGGAGTGACTCGTCGCTTAGCGCAGCAGGCGTAGTGGAGCGATCATGAGCCCAAAAGTATCAAGGCCCAGACTGCGGGCGCAGCTGCTGTGCAGTGTGAGAAGCGTTATAAGCTCGCGTACATAAATGCGTCATATCGTGTTCTCTCCTCTCAACACAATGTCCTTTACACACTTCAAGCTCACCAGGCCAGACGGCCTTACTCGTCGTCTCAAGTTCCCTGAGCGACCGTCCTGGAGCGTCCTCGCTGCTCGCGTCGGTAATCTCTTCTCTATCCCTGTCGATAGTGTCGCTGTATCCTACGTCGATAACGATGGAGACGAAGTCACTCTCAGTTCCCAGGAGGAATTGCAAGATTACTACGAGACCAGCCATGAGCCCGACCAGGTTATCAAGTTCGCTGTACACGACTTGAGTGCGTTCTCCCCCCAGAATGCCGATAAGCCTCTCCCCGACACTCCGCGTACGTCCAACCCGTCCGGCGCTAATGCCGCGCCTAACCGCAATCCCTTCGTGCCCCCCGCTTTCGTCGTGGAGGTGGAGGACGACTGGGAGAGGCTTCCCAGTCTCGGTGGCTTGGGCATGGGCGGCATCAGTCTTGGTGGTCCCCCCGCCTTCATGCCCGGTGCTAGAGAGTCCCCCAGCCCACACGCCTTTCTCGTTGAAGTCGACGACAGCGCCGACTTGAGTAAGCGGAGTGAAAGAAGTGAGACTGAGAGGAGGGAGAGCGAGAGCGTTTCCACCGAGCGTGCCAATCCCGCTTCGAGAGATAAAGGAAAGGAGAAGGCAAGAGAGGACATGGAAGTCGACGACAACGAGGACGACGATAGAGCCTCTACCACCTCCGTCATTGCGGATGAGACACCCAAGAAGCATCCGGTTCATGTCTACGATGTTAGCGATGCTGAAGGAGACGGGAATGAAATGGGCTCCATCGCAGGTAATATTCATACGTCCCACTGTTATGGCACCGAACTCATCCTTGCGTCCGTAGACGAAAGTAACGCCTCCTCCACAGCTAAGGCTGCGAGTCCACCCGCCGCCCCCGATCCGCCTTTAGAGTCGACCGGAGAACCAGTTGATCAGACTGTGTCTCTGACGAACGATGTGGCGTCTTTCTTGAACAACCTATCTTCGATCTTATCCACCCACCCTGAGCTGACGGAAGGTATCCAGAATATCGTCCGCCACGCCAGCGACGGATCATACTGGAGCGCTCATCGTGACGCCCTGACTAGAGCCGCAAATGAGCTCCGTCGTTCTTCGATGGAGGTACAGGCTGAAGCCGGAAGAGCTGGTGAATACCTTCGCCGCGCAGCCGAGGAAGAAGCAGGTAGGCGTGTAACTGAAGCAGTCAACAACATCGCTCTGGCTATACGACAAATGACGGTTGGCGACCGTGGTGACCGGCCGGCCGACGCAGGACCTGTAACCTCAACTCCTCTCGAGGAACAGTTTGGTAGGGTTCCATTCGAGCGACCTTCAAGCAGGGGCGAGCCTGATTCCCACCGTGGACGCGGTGGACGTTGGAGTCCGCGCGGGCACCCCCATTTCCATCACTTCCATGGACATCCTCACCATCCTTTTGGCCGTCATAGTCCGCCTTCCCCTCCTCATGTGCGCCACGGTCCTCCTCCTCCTCCCCACATGCACCACGGGTTTCCTCCCTTTCCCCCTCACATGCATCACGGACCTTTCCCGCCGCCACCCATGCCCGGCAGTCCTCACTCATCGGGTCGTAGGGATAGAGGCCCAGTTCCACCCTCACCTCCCCCGCCACCGGCTCACCACTTCCCTCACCATTCCCCTCCCCCGCCCTTGAGTGGTCCTTCACCACTTCCCCATTCCCCAGAAGGTCCGCCTCCGCCTCCCCCGCCCATGCGTCCTCCCCCTGAGGCTTCGGGCACTGCTTCTCCGCCGCCGCCACCTCCCGGTGGTGCCCAAGGCCCTCATGTACGTCCGCCGGGGCCGCCTCCACCCATGGGGAGCGGCTTCCCACCGTTCCCGCCAGGGTTTGTGCCGATGTCGGCCGTATTTCGTCAGCCTGGCATGCGTCGAGGACCTTTTTTTGATAGAGGCATGTTCGGGCCTCAACGAAGGATGCGAGGAAGGGGAGGGATGCATATGCATCGCCCGTTCCCGCCGCCGTTCGTCCATGGTACGCCAGGGGGCATGTTCAGCCCACCGTTCGGGCCGCCTCCTGGCCACGAGGATGACGATATGATGGACGACGATGCGGAGTTCCAGGATATCGACATGTATGGTCTCCATTCGCATGAGGATACGAGAGCCGAGTTGGAGGCTGCCAAGGAATTTTACAAGGCTATGAAAGACAGATATAGGCGCGAGAGAGACGCCAGAAGGAGGATGCGGGGTGGCCATGGGCGGAACATGTCTATGGATAGGTCAGTCTGGCACGCGCGTCTCAGGGAAGCCCTCGTTGACGAGAGACTCATTAACCACAGTGCTGTGCCGCCCACTTCCGCGGACGTTAGTCGTGATACGACTCGAGAGGACAATGGACCCCCTCAAACAGACAGTCAACCTACCGCCGGTCCTTCACAAGCAGCAAATACTGCTGCGGCTCAATCCCGATATGCCACGGTGTCTGGTAATAACTCTCAACGAGTCAGCAGCGCCAGGGGAGGCTTCCCTGCCCTCGAGCTGTTCAGCGTCCCCCGCCGAGCTAACACCTACCATGGCCGCGCCCAAGGCCGGGGTCAGGCTGGGCCGAGCGCCCCGGCTGGCATTCCCGAAGGTGTCAGGATTATGCAGGAGCGGATCGAGAGACGTGTAACTGAGGTAAGGCCGCCTCAACTCTTGCGACTGGTAGACGGTCACTGACGTGGTAGGATTTAGATGGGTTTCTCGGATCCTTCTGTGGCGAGAAGAGTTACCGAGCAGTTGGGAAAGAGGCGACCGACAGGCGACGGGTGGGATGAAGATGATATTGTTACGAGCGTCATTGAAGAACTAGTTTCTATCCCGATCTCGTCTGGCCCCGGCGAGAAAAGAGACGGTAGTAGGGAGCTTCCAAACCCTTGGAAGTAATTCTTCGGCACTATGGGGTTTCAGTTGTTGCGATGATGAGGACGTTACCTTTCTTGTACTTTTATTCCGGGTGCGTAAGTAGGTCCCTATGCGATCCATTGTTATTCTAGTGTAGTCTTTCTGGTCTGAGGTATACATACAGCAAGGTAAGTAAGTCTTAGTAGTAGAAAATATAATAACGGCCCTTGGACTAGTCCAAGGGCCGACATCAAATTACACACCCTGCGTGAGCCTTTATACTGCTACAACCTGCCAATATGAGCGTTGTGGGTCCCAGTCCATGCTGCGAAGAGACGGCGACTGTAGGACCGGTGGAATAAACAATTGCCGGTGGTTTGTGGGTCCCAACGTTGGCCGAACCTTCCTTTTCCTACGCTCGGTGCCTCTCAATGAGTCGGACACCGCCTGCGTCGTTCGTCGCGGCACCGCCTTGGGAAAGCGACAGCGAGCACAGAGTCTGCGGGTGCGGCTCCGGGGCATGCTAGCCAGTGGCGTACTTCAGGACACGAGGCTGGATGAGAAGGGGCCTTGTTCCCAATCGGTTATATACCCTCGCGTTCCTTTGTGCCCCCCTTCCGAGGACTTTCCCCCCAGTCCTGGATCTTCGCATTGACTTGCCTTAGGGAGAACCACGGTAAGTGTACTGCTTTCGTCGATGAGGGGACACACAAGGAGAGCTTATCAGTGACTGCTTCCCTTATATTCCGGCTGTACGCCACTTGTACGGATTGCTATTTAGCAGCTACCACTTCGCCACTATCTATCAGTGTCACCTCTCAATGTTATCCGAACGTCCGCCCGTGCAGTTTTCCATCAACCCATCTGTGGGGGTTCCGGTTTTCATTCCTCAACCTCAGGCGAAGGTCAGTGTGCACGTCCTTGCTACCTTGGTCCTGTCTTCATGTTTGCGTTCGCAGGGACCGTACAAGCTTTTGAGCGTCAAGAACACAACCCCACCAACCCCCTTACGACGACCTAGCGCGAATGCTGAATACGGATACCGTTGGAACGACGAGTCTATCCTACGCTGTAGGCTGATGATGGAAGAGGAACCCACCCGACGGTACACTGACGACCAAGTGCAAGCTGTTAGGGAGAGAGCCAGGGAATATGGGCGGCGTCTACAGCTGATCGATACAATCCCGCAAGCCGACTACTGGCGCCGGCAAGACGCATACCAGAGTTTCTCGTTCGCTCGCTATCTGCTCCTTTGGCGGATATTCCCCATCAACGATCTTCCGCCCGAGATCCTGTCCCACATCTTCCGCTTTGTTGCGCTGTCCTCTAGGACGCCCAAGGAGGCTGTCAACTCCCGTCTGCACCTCACATGGGTGTGCAGACACTGGAGAGGATTAGCCATTGGCGATCCTGTGTTATGGAGCACCGTGTGGTTTCGACTAAGGAGACATAGTGTTGGAACGTTTTCATCGCCTTGCATGGAGCGCTCGCTTGCGTGGCTGGAAAGAGCCTCGCAAGCAGTGCTGGACGTGATGATAACCGCACTTCCTCAACATTTGCAACTTACACCGTTGTCGTCGCTGGATGCGGGTAAAGCTGATACACATATCGTGCATCAATTACTACATCTGATTGCACCGAAGCTGCCCCAGCTGCGGACGTTGATAGTCGGACTGGAGAGTCCCATGTGCGATCTGGCATTCCAGATTCTGTATAATGCACTTTCTGCGGGTTTAGTACCTGCGCGTCTCGAACACCTCGAAATCCGTCGGCTGGAAGCTGAACGTCGAGAAGCACTGCCAACGATATCCAATCAAGCACCTTTACCTTTCTTGGGCAGCGAGGCGTCGGCCCTCCGATACCTTGCCTTGGACGGTGTAACGGTGGAATGGTCTCAGTCGTCCTTCGGAAACCTGACTTCGCTGGAAATATCGAGCACCCACTTCAAGAACCTGCCGAACTTTGACATGGACCTCCCTCGCATACTGAGGTGCTGTCCGAATCTCGAGGAACTGGGACTTGGTGCCGGATTCGAGAAACTGAGTGCTGAGGGAATGGATGTCGAGCCGGTTCCCTTGGACCAGCTGCATTCTTTGACCTTCTACGAAACAGCACCTTCGAATGTCTCCTGCCTCCTCTGCATGTTCACCGCACCCTGCCTGCGGTCACTGACGCTTTCACACATGGGATCAGAGGACTGCATAATACTCTTCTCTGGATTAATGGGCAGGTTTCCGGAGTTGCGGTACCTTGCGCTCGAGGAGCTTGAGACGTCCGAAAATGACCATGCAGTGAACGTTATGATCAGGTGGTTCTTATCCACGCCAGACCTGCGATATTTTAAAGCGAAGAACACCTGCGAGAGCTGTGTGTTCGACGCTCTATTGTATGTAGAATCGTCGACGGAGCAGCCAGCTCTCCGCGCAACGCCAGACCCTCCCAAAGAGATCTTGACTTCGAATTATCCGCTGAAGTCAGGAAAGGCGATTGTCTGTCCGAAACTCGCGCTTCTCGAAGTGCATGTCGCGGACGTGGACTCGGTTATCGAATTTGCTCAACAGAGGCAAGCGCTCGGTGCCCCGCTCAAGAAGATCTACGCTGGTGAAGGCCTTCTCGCGGATTTGGAAAAGGACGATGTGGCGGATTTACAAGAAGCGTCCGAGCTCTGGATATTGCCTGCTGGTCAGAATTCCCCCGAATCTCAGGAGCTACGACGACCAGCTTCGCTCCGTAGTGAATCGAACTTATGGGCCTAGGTCACCTGCAACGTCGAGTCTCCGTATGTACGACCTACCGTTACTAGTGCTGTACATCCTTATGCTCCCGAATATCAGCTCGCATGTCATGGAAGTGTCCAATCGCGTGATCGTACTGGAGGGTGATACATTCAGAGGGGTTGGCCAGCTTCCCTTCACCGTGTCACACCGTGGTGCTGGCACCTCATAAAAGGCGAAGAATCGCTCGTCTCTGTCCTCTTGTTGTCCTCTTATTGTCCTCCTTTTCGCGAACTCCGTCTCTTCATCACACACACTATTGTCCTTGCCAGCGGACTGTCTGGCCCAACACTCTTTCCTTACCCGTTCAAAGTGAAGGTCTCCTGGCACAATGAGCGCAGATACCACCAGAAGCTCTCTCCGAATCCTGCAGAAGCGAGACGCACGCTCTGCTCTAGTCAGAAACTTCGTGAACTTCAATGCTCCTCCTCTCCCGTCAGCCAAGCGCGAACCAAGGCGTACGCGTCATCGCATGACCGAGGAGCAGCTCGAACGGCTAGTGTCGACTTTTGAACAAAACACTCATCCAAGTAGGACGGAGAAACAAGAGCTGGCGGATCAGCTATCCTTGTAGGCACATTGAACCGGACCGTGTCCTGGCTCCTAACACTCGCACTCGGAACAGGGACTTCAAGACTGTGAATGTATGGTTTCAGAACAGACGTCAGACTGGAAAGAAGATCATGGACCTCGCCGGAACCTCTCCCGAGACCATCGCATCTGCCCAACTCCTGCGTCTGTATCAAACTCCTACCGTTGAGGCGGACTGTACGAGAAAGCGAAAGGCCACGGACGAGAACGTCCATGCACCGATTGGCGCCACCCTACTCAAGAATCTTGCAGCTCTACCCGTGTAATCTCAGAATCCGGAAACCTCTCCAGCGATACCAGGAACATGTCAAGCGGACTTGGGCTGGCCAATATCCCGCCTCAGGGATGCAGGATCGGATACCGGTCTATCGAGCCTCGCAGCCCCATCTCCAACCATAGCATTGGAGACACCAGCTCGGGCACAGAAGACTCCACCATCAGCGCGCAGGAATGTACTTACAATCGGTCCGCGAAACGCAAGCGATTAGCTGGACCCCCTGATTCAGGCTCCATGGATAACCACATCCCAGGCTCGAATTCGCAGTACCTCCACAACGGTTCACTGCTGTTCAAGAACACGCCTCTTACACCTGCGTCTCCGCCATCTGCTTGTCCAGCCGTACTCACGCCGGATCTGCTTTATGCTGCCTCCATGCTCTTGAGATTGAAACACGCCTTGCACTAGTCTCGGGATCAGGATATCTTCGACGGATCAAGGCCTTACTTGTGCTCATCTCACAGTGTACATTTCACATCATTAGTGTTTATCCTCGGTTTGTATTCGTGCGTTTCGTGATTAATATATACCTAGGGCATATGGAGATCTTTGGAACATGTGTGGGACATACAACAGGTAATGCAGCCATAACATGATGTATGTGATGCAGCAAAGATAAGGATAAGATGCAAAACCATTTCGAAAGCAGGACTGTACGCGACGTCTAACCTAGAGATTTCTTGCGCTTTTTACCAGCCGTGAGAGGTGCCACAGGACTGCCGCTGTGCTGATGAAGCACTCCGTTCTTCAGTGATTTGGCAGGTGTTGAAAGGACGGACTGGGGACTGAGTTGATGGTAGCCGTTCGTTTGAGCGGGAACAGGGTGACGAGGTGTGTACCCATTAGGATGCACTTGAGTTCCGTTGGTTTTTTTCCCATTCACCTGGGATATGTTTGGACGGTGGCCATTGATGGCTGTATAGGAGTGTTAGTGACCATTAGACCTGAAAAGAGCAAGACGTACCGTGTTGCTTAAACAGTTCAACAAACATATCCATCTCCTCCACGCTAACGACCCTCTCGGAGCTGCGACTAATGACGACCGGCGCAGTGTCTTGCGTGACATCCATATCGACATCGACGTCTTCATCCATCCCTTCGTCAGACTCATCTGCTATGTGAGCCGCCTCCTGGGAGCAAGGGAGCCGAGGCTTCAAGAAGCTACCCATAAGGGAGTCGAATACGCTCTCAATCGGTGGTATTAGATGAGCAGGCCCATCAAGTACAGCAGCGGCATCCTTCGAGTCCCATGAATAAGAGCTTGTAGCTGGAATCTGTTCCGAGCGCGGATTTGAGGTATCCGCAAATGCTGACTTCCCGAAGATATCCTGGAATAGAGTCGGCCTACGAGCAGAGCCCGCTGGATCAGGGATAACCTGAGCACAACTAGCCTGTTCGTCGCCCGCAGCCACGTAGTCACCAAGAAGTACCACATTCCACGACGAGGTGATCGCAACAAGCGCATATAGAGACTTGTGAGAGGACGATACGTGATGCACTGGATAGGGCGAAACGGTGAGAAGGTGGAAGGGTAAACTGCGCTTCCTGATAGGCCTCTCTGATGATGTAGACAGGACCTCGACAGTCGTGACAAGATCGGCACCCCACGAGGAATAAAATACAGCTACCGAATCATCAAGGGGATGGGGCACGACTGCACTAATGGCGATGGAGCATCGGCGATGCCATCGCACTAGGTAACCAGCGATCAGTCATAGAAAATAAATGGATCAAGGAGCATAGCTTACCTGTCTGCGATATCAAGTCCCATAGGACAATATCGTGGGATCCTACAACAGCTACATATCGCCCTTCAGTGCCAACGAAATGGGCCGAACGAGCAGATTTGCACTGGGGCGACGTCAGTGCTGTGTTGATCACACCCGTTATAGAGTCACAAAGAACGACATGACTGCCGAATGAGACGAGCAGTAGCGATCCGTCTGGCGACCATGAGGCGTGCGTCGGCACTTCTGACCGGAAATCGAGAGCAGATCGCGCGACCCAGAAATCTAAGGCATTCATGAGGGGAAAGATCACCGCAAAAGTCAGCTCTCGGCTTACCTTCCTGCCCTCCATTCTTGTCTACGGTAGTCCGAATCCCCCATCCCCTAACTTTCCCGTCTTCTCCGGTGGTCACTATTAGTGGTCGACGACGATCAGGATGGAAGACTACAGTCGAAACCTGTTTATCGCCATGTGGTCTGTCAATTCTGGTATTGAGCGACCATATTCCAGCTCGGGCGTTCCACTGCCAAAGCTTGAGGTAGATCTCCCTGTGGAAAGTATCATCACCTTCCCGACTGTCCAAAGTTGCCATCCACTCTCCACTTGACGCGACGGCGACGCGAAGTACTCTAGATGGCTCTAGGCTCTTTTCGTCCCGTCGAGAGACTCGATTCGAGGGTGAGACTTCGAGCTCCGACAGCAGTTTGTGTTGCGTGGGGGAGTACGTTTGTAAGGATGATGGATGGGATGAAGGTAGTACGAGAGAAGAGGTAGGGCCATGGTAGGCCAAAGGTACAGGAAACGAGGTCAAGTGTTTCCCTAGCGGTGCTGTTGAATCTATGATTTATTCACAACTGTCAAGAATGTAAATATGTCTGTTAAAGGGGACTTGCCTAGCTTTATGCGAGAGAAAGATCTCATGATCTTTAATGAACCAGCATCTATTACGGCGAAACTAGCATCCGCCAGACCTAAGATATACTCTTCTTCACGGTCCCTGGCCCTGCATACCGCTATGCTCAAGATGGGCGATCCGACGCGAGGAATAAATTCCTTTTTTCCGGTATGAAGCTGCCAAATCACCAGAACGGACTCCTCGCCACCGCTAAGGAGATATGCACCGTTGACCGTGAAGGCGAGACCTGAAACAGCATGCGCGTGCCAGTGCAGGGTTGTTGTCTGAGCTTTCTTCTCGACACCGACAGCGGAGTGGCTCCGTATGATCTCCTCGTTGAGACAATACCATAGCCGAATGTGACCCTTGACATCGCCAGTGGCGAAGTATTCCTCTGAAGGATGGAACGCCAGACAAGTGAGCGCCTCGGGGGACACGAACTTGGTAAAACCAGATTTCAGAGCCGAAGTCTGCGCTACGTAAGCCTTGTGTCCAGCAGCAGCTACGAGCCACTGTCCGCTCGGAGACACAGCTAGGCCACACGTCGATCGAGTCTTCCCCACGGCGAGAATCTCAGAGGATTTTTGGTACGCCGACCCAGCCGTAGCAGCACTCGGCTTTAACGAAACCCGAAGAACAGCATTGTTGTCCTCTTTGGAGCTCCCTGGAATGATACGTTATGATAAGAAGCACTCCAAACAAGCGATGGACGCGTACCATCAGCTTTTCGCTTTTTACCAGGTCGTGCGACGGAGACGAAAACGTGATCTTTGAAGTTTTGGTGCGCGCATAGGTGCAGTATAGGTTGAGCGAGGTCAATTGTCTGTAGGAGATCTGCCTCTAGGAAGTCCCAGACCTTGATACAACCGTCCAAAGACGCGGTGATCAACTGGAAGGGATTGGTAGGACTGAGGACGGCCGCCGTTATGGAGTCTGTGTGACCATTTCCTTGGGAGAACTTAGACGCAGAACTGCCAGACGGGGACGCGGACAGTGTTGACACGACTTGCCCGGTGGTGCTAGAATAAATCTTCACACTCGACCCTACGATCGAGAAGAAGTAGCTGGGCGAACACTTCAGTGTACATGCGCACCGAGACTCCCTCGTGCAAGACGTACCTCCCATCCTTGGTAAATACAGGTGGTTGACGACTGACCCATGAGTCCGTGAGCGACGTCCATGACCATGTTATATGCTCCGTAAGCTCATCAGGCTCTTTCCTTCCCTTCCCTTTCTGCGCTACGGATGTAGCGTCCTCCTCTTTACTCTTCCCCTTTTTCGACTTCACGATTTTTGGTGAACTGAGATGACCAGGAGAGGGGTGCGTATCCCGAGGCTGTCTCGAAGCTGGATGTTTAGCTTTGGTCGCTGCCATGGCCGACCGTGAGCAGCCTCGGGGTCGTGAACTTCACTGAACAGAAAAAAGGTAGCAGACAAATCAGGACCACGTTGTCAATGCCTTCCTAATACGGCGCACTCGGTGCCGGAAATAGATCGTCTCATGCAGGTCCGCAGGAAGATCTGCAGAAAATATCAATATTAGCGTGCAGGGGCATATACATGTTGGTGGTGCAGTGTTTACAGTGACATAATATACATCCATCAATGTCCTCCAAACCCAAGAAGTCCCTCTTAGCCTTTACCGTCACAATCACTGCAAGTCTACAGCCCCACATACGAGAGTAACTTACACGCTCAAGCCAATTTATATCCAACTAATACTCTGGCTGTTCTAGAAACAGCCTGCGCGGCCTCCTCGTCTGCTAGTCGACGTGCGTCGAGCATCGCTTGGTAAATGCGCTCTTCCTCTAGATGTTCAGCTCTGGACAAAGGTTCCCGAGGAGGGAGCGGCCAGCCTATCTGTGATAACGAATGCCACAGCCCTAGTCTGGCGTGCATGTCGCTTCAATCATGCGCAAAACAGCGTCAACTAGCTGGCTGACCAGATAAGACACTTGGGCTTACCTTTGGTATCTCTCAACCAAGCGTTCAAACTTTTGGCGACTCAGCTTTAACCCTTCCAGCTCCTCGTCATCTTCCCACCCGAACGCTTGCAGCGAATCTTTTCTATTCCGTATCCGGTCTTTCAGCTCTTCCCACATGGACTCCTGACATGCCAGTACGCCCTGGTAAGCTCGATACAGATGAATGGCGAGTGTGTGATCAGTCAATCGCTGAGCAAGCTTGTCGTGGGGTATCAGCTCTGTGTGAGAGCCGATCGATGTACTGTCGGTCGAAGAAACAAAATCGGATGTGGGGCGTTTGTTGGCAGGAGGAGTACTGTCTCCCGACTGACTGGACGACGCTGAAAGTTCCCTGCGCAGGGCCTCGGGGAGCACACGCCCGTCAGGGAAAATGGATGACGCAAAGCTTGTTTGGCTCGTGCCTGGATGCGTCAATAATGGCGAACTGGAATTCGACGTCACTAATGAGGAGAAGGAACTTGATGCTGGGCGTGTCGGTGGTTGCGACAGTTCATCTGGTCTACTGGCCGAAGAATCCGCCAGCGAGAAGCTCGGAGGGTGCTTTTGATTCGGCAGCGGCATTGGAGGAGGGAATGGCGGTACGGGAAACTTGATATTGGGGATTGAATGAACTTGTCTGAAGGTCGAAGTGAAATAGATAGGAATAACAGCTACCCAGACATACTTGTCAGATAACTTAAAAAAATGATTTGAAGGGAGCCCACCGGTTGGTCGGGTATTGATAAAACGATTGTGAAATACCGAATAGAATAACGATTCCAGAAGAGCATGGTCATGGGAAGAACCAGGAGACTGAGGCGGCGAAGGATCTGACATCCGCGAGGAGCCGTCAGGAAGGTGTACAGATGAATTGCGTCGCACTCGATTTCGTAGCGGAGACGTAAACCATCGAGGCAACGTAGGGAAATATATATCTGGAGAATCGGGGCGTTGGACCAGGATCTAACAATGCCCGGACATCAAAGGAGCTTACCTTCTTCTGAGACTTCGATGGCACCTCCTGGTCGTAACACGCGGTTTATTTCCTTGCGGCCATCATCTAAGATACGGGTAAAAGAGACATAGGACCAACTCACTTCGAAGATATAACCCCACTTAAAACGGCTAAGTACAAGTAGATGCTGATGATGGGGGCGACATACCTTGTTCTCTGGGACTCCTAATGATATCCCAGACACATGTACATGGTCAAACTCATCTTCTTCGAAGGGCAATCTGTTCGTCAAACTGCAGACGTGTGTGAGGATGAATGAAGGTTCACGATTCATGCTGAACGGGGCTGCTTACAAGTTTCCATGAACGAACGTGACTCTGTCTCCTATAGACGAATCCAGGAGTTTTAGCGGTAACTGGACGTTAACCAGGTCGAAGCCAACCTAGAAGGGTAGTCGAGAAGCAATCCTCTGAGCCACAACAACCGTGGATGATCCAGCATTACGCACGAAGTGGCAGTCGGGCCATTCCTTCGCAGCATTGACAATCCAGAACCCCGCCTTCCCACCGATCCTGTTTATCACTGATCACGTCTGCGACGATAGTCAACGTACCCCACAACCTAAGTCCAAAGATTTCTGCGGCGGACCGTCCTCTTGCTCGTCCCATTTAACCATAGTTACGGACCCAGTAATCGACATGGCATATGCATGGTCGATCGCTTCTCTACTGCAGGGTAAACGCAGGCGCCCAAGAGCGACACACATAACTCACAGTTCTATTACATCTTTATCATAGCTGCAAGGATAGGGGGCTTTTTCAGGGTCATAGGAATGGTGTCGCTTCCCGTACTTGTACGTGAATTGGTTCTCCCTCGCGCGGGCTATGCGCTTGCTTTCGAAGGACGTGGACTGGGAACTGCTGCCGATGCCCGAATCGACCGAGGTAGTGCTAGTGAAGTGCGAGCTGCTGCGTCGCGGAGAGGCGAATGCGCCCAGCGTGGCGGCCATGGAGGCTTGTTGGAAGGCACCTCAATCAGCGTCCTCCTGCTTATGGGTCCTGGATCAAGATACGGCAGCAGTCCGAGGCCTGGAGCCAAAAATGTCCGCATCTTTCTCGCTCGATAGAATGCGGCTCCCGTGTACATCGTTGCTTGTGTATCTTCGGTCAGCCGAGCTGGTTCGTCTGATGCAGAGCTTGATATCGATTCCATCAGGAAAGACGCTCAGCAAAGGCTCGAACGACGAGTGCTGTATGATGAACCGACGTACGATCATGAGTACATCACGGGCTTTGCTTTCATTCACACCCAGGTACAGCATGAAGAGGGCTATTATATGGAGTATTACTGTCAATGAGGAGTATTTACATTATAGTAAAATCATAAAAGTTCAGTACTGGGCAGGTAGGACCTAATGACGGGTCTGATCACCTCGCTCGAAGTTCGAATGCGCCGACCCATCATGATCAGGATCGGACTCCTAGAGCCTTCCGCGCAGCCGAAACCATCAGATCCTTCGACTTCAGCATACGCGCAAACCAGTCGCCGAACGTCAAACCCCAGAGCAGCCCGAGGTACGCGAATCCGCCGTTCTTCATACAGACAGCGAAGTCAGGGACGTCTCCGAGCACAACAAACTTTACACACCTTGCCATTCGTAATGACTATGAGTTCCGGGCTTCCCTTGTATACCTTCTTAGCTGGTTTGTCTTCCAGGTAAGCCAAGATATTTGCCACGACGACAGGTGCATGGGAATGTACTTTTGCGGCCTGCTTGACTTCCTTCCAGTCAAGGACGTCACCGGCAGCGAAGATTCCCGGATGCGACTTCACTTGGAGTGTCGGATCGACTTTAACAAAGCCGTGCTCCGTGAGGACGGAGGGCTGCAGAGAGACGAGGAATGATGTATTCGGGCGACCTCCACGAGTGGGAACCTGAATTCGGAGTCAGGTCAGGGGTTATTCTCGAAATTAGTGGAATCAAACATACGACAAGATCAACGTCCTCTATCGTCCGTCCTTTACGAGTGGTGATGGAGCCTTGGGCTTCAGGTATACCATCAATGTAGTCGCCCAGGATAACGTCAACACCTCGCTGTCGCATACGCTTCTCAATGTTCGTACGCCACTTCATCGGGTAGGTGCCGTTTACTAGATGCTCCTGGCCATGCACAATGGTGACCTTTTTATGCTACAAAATACTGAGAGACCGCACCACGGTGCATCACGATAAGCACTTACCGGCCACACGTCCTTAACCTCTCCAGCGATTTCTAAGGCGGGAAGTTAGATGCGCACTCAGACCAATATCCACGTTGCTCACCTATAGCCACAGAACCTCCGCCTACAAGCACAATATGCTTAGCATCACGGAATTTCTGCCTCCAACTCCGTATGTGGTCCTGATATTGTTCCTGCGTCTCTGGGAACGCTAGTGGCCCATCCCAAATAGAACCCGGGGCAAGGACAAGGGCTTCGTACTGAATGGCTTCCCCGTTGCTTAACAGGACGTTACCACCTCTGCCCTCCTTGTTATTTTCAATATTCGTCACGGTAGCCACTTTGATGGACCCCTTCCCGTCCGCGAAGAGCTGGTCATACGGCATAAACGCGTCTTCAATTGGGTGTCCGTCGACGACGAGAACCCGCAACGCAGCAGGCAAGTAGAGGAATTCTGGTCGAGAGGTGACAAGAATGACGGTGTACCTCGAAGGATCGAGTTTGCTTGATAACTCGCGAGCAATTGTGGCCCCCGCTGAGCCTCCGCCGACTATAACAACGTTCCGTTTGGGCATGTCGGACGCCTGGGTGACTGCCTTGGGTCTAGTGTAGAAGTAAGCAAGTGCAGCTGCAGGGATGGATACCAAAGAGGTTACAACGAATGCTGTCGACGAGGCCATTGACGGGGTGCTTTATATCGCGCGAGATGAAGGTCGAGGACCGTATATTTTATTATACGGCCACATATGCCAGCCCAGTGCTACGGACGATGGTCGTAAGCAAGGTGCTGTAAGCATAATGATAAGTCACTATGTACCTAGATCTAGAACCGTGATCAACCGATGTTTCGGGAATTACTGCCACGTGGACCCCATCAACAGAGCTGCCAGTGGCCCAATGCAAGCTTGAAGTGCTGCTGACTGCGACCGAGTCTTTACAAGCACATTCGGCGTCTCTAACACGCTATGCCTCGGCGGAAACCCGCGTCAGCCAAACAGCGTAAGGCTGATCTTCAGCTCAAGAGAGCAATCAAGCGGGGCGATGTACCTGCACCGCAAGATCAAGAGAAATCTCGCAAATCTCGCACTAGGACGAGACGAGGTCCTACAGGCCATCCTATCGGCAAGGAGAGCTCGAACACGAACCAGCATACTGTGGATACTGCGCGAAAGCTACAGTCCTCCTTCATCAATCCATCGCCGCAGTTCCTTGCAGAGGCCAAGGAGTTGGCTTCGGCTCTGCCTCTTCCTAGGCCAATTCCGAGTGCGAGCGCAGTCTTTGTCGCCCCAAGGATACAGTCGGCTGGAGAGCAGCTTACATGTCCAAAGCGTCCCAAATGGAGGTACGACATGACTAAGAAAGAGGTCGAAAAGAACGAGGAGGGCCTGTTCGCCAAGTGGCTGACTCAGACGGATTCACTTGTAGAGGAATGGCGTGCAGGTCGTGACGCAAAGCGGAATGAGGCGATCAGTTCTCCGGATGAGCCAGGTGGTGGATCTCCGCAGCGTGATGGCATGCCTTCATCTCTAACTTATTTCGAACGCAATCTCGAGGTGTGGCGTCAATTGTAAGTGCGTGACTACCTCTTACACACTGTCCACCTCTCCTTTCGCGGTGAAACGTATTGATGCGGTATGTTATGCATATCTCGTAGGTGGCGCGTTACGGAGCTATCACAGATCATTCTTGTCCTATTGGATTCTCGTTGTCCTCCCCTGCACTTTCCATCCTCATTATCAGAGTATCTGGAAGCCCATTCTTCGGGCCAGTCAAGGGACAAAAGTAAGAAGATCGTCTTGGTTCTAACCAAGGTGGATATATCTGGGGCTGCCCGCGCGAACACATGGGAGACCTATTTGCGCAAGCAATATCCTCACGTCGAAGTGGTTCAAGTCGAATCATACTATGTTGTTCACGATGAGGTGGATAAAGACGCCCCGGGCCAAAAGAAGAAAAAGCGCGAAGCTCGTCTGCCTCAGACTTTTCGCGAAAGACTCGTGGGCGTCTTGAAGCAAGTACACGAGGAGCTATTGCGACCACCCGAAAGGATTCAATCTGATCCGGACAGACTTGCAAAATGGCAGCCACCGGTTCGAAGGATTATAGACTGGGACGCTGCCCTCCGTGGCGTCAAGGATGTGCATCATGAGCATAGAGAACATCAAGCACATCCAGAACCCGAGGCAGGTCCCAAGGATGAGGCTGACGACGACGACGAAACTCCAGAACCTGAGTATCTGACGATAGGGTTAATAGGTGAGCCATATGCCAATAGGGTATCTGAGCGTACTCAACCCTCCTGTATTAGGGCAGCCAAACGTCGGAAAATCATCCCTGGTTAACGCGCTCTTTGGCGAGTCCAAAGTGAGGGCTTCCAAGACACCCGGTAAAGTGAGCGCGCTCTCTTCAGTATGATAGTATTGAAAGTTGCTCATAATGCACCGAAGACCAAGCATTTCCAGACTTTATTCCTGACACCCGATATACGCTTCGTGGATTGTCCGGGACTCGTGATGCCCAGCTATGTGCCGATGGAACTGCAGGTCGGGATATCAATAGTCACCGAACCGTTAAAATACTAATATTTTATGTCGTGCTTCAGGTCCTCTCCGGCATCCTCCCGATATCCCACATATCTTCCATCCCTTCATGTATCCACTACGCTGCATCGGTGCTGCCGTTGGAACAGATTCTCAAGTTGAACCATCCGGCTTCGTTGACTCCCCAGAAGGAAGATAAGCGGACCTGGCGAGACGGGATGCAACCTCAGAGTCACGCGGATCAGGCAGTCCTGCGGTGGACCGCGATGGATATATTGACTGCGTATGCGAACTACAAAGGGTGGGTGACTGCTAAGGCGGGGCGCCCAGATGTGATGAGGGCCGGTAATGCCAGTACGCGTGTTTTCGGGCTCCTGGGCGGAAGCAGCATGACTGATTTTTGCTGCGCTAACAGTCCTCCGCCTCTTAGCCGAAGGACGGATCCGTTGGGCTTTCCTGCCTCCGTTGCCGGATATCACTCAGGCTGCCCTCCAGATGGAGGACGGAGACGGGATCTGGATTAGAGACGGTGGGGGATCTGCTGATGACAGCGGCGAGGAATCGGACGAAGAAGAGGGCGGTGACATCTCTGCCGATGAGGATGGAATGACAACAGGTTCGGACGCAGATTCCGAAGATGCGTCGTCGGATGCTGAATCAGAGGTTCACGGAAGAATATCAGCACGGTTTGGAGTGTTAGCCTTGGGTGACGAGCAAGTGGACTATTCGTCAGGGAAAGAATAATGTCTTACACAACCACTGTAAAGCTTCTGTGAAAGGCACTGAAAGCCAAACATTGCCACAAACGCGTAGTGTTCTATGTAAGCCATTGCTACCGGCTAACCGGGCCGACCCAATTTCACCGTGTTGAACGCCGCGGTTCTCCGGTTTGTTCAACTTGCTACCATACCGCCGAGCGCTATATTTCTTTGCACGAGGCCGGTACAAAGGGTATGGCCATTATTGAGGTTAGTCTGGAGAGAGGGAGGATATACTGCCGCAAGTCGGGTCCGATGATCGTTGCCTTTAGGTCGCGGGGATACATACTTGGTACTGGACGCAACCACAGATAGGATGGGACACAGCCATATCGGCCTTCGTGATCCTCCTAGCCTTGTTCTATGATTGCGCTTCTGCTCTGGAAATACCAAAGCCAGTACTTGCGCCATGGCGGGCCTTGAGAACTATCTACAGGAATTTCCTGACTATCGAAGATATCGATCCGAACCAGGTTGGAGCTGAAGCTTCGCCATCCGTATTCAAAATACGTGGCTTGGTGGTCTTGTCTTGCTTTCAAAGTCTTATCTTCCTGGCATGCGTTGCATATGCAGCGTCAGTTGGGAACCACAGCTCTGCTATACGGTTTCTGATATGGTGCCTTGCATGGGTGCGTCGCGGTAGCTTGGACTTAGGATGCCCTAAATAAATCGAGTCAACTCCAGGCGTACGCGTCATTACGCACGGCTATAAAACCTCCTATAACGCCTCCCTATTTTCTGGTCATATTTTACGGCGTTCAAGTTGTTTCCACATTTGTGGACCTGCTCTTCGACGTCATAACTCCGAAATTTGGACTAACTGTGATAATATGGGATATCAATTGCTTCAGCTTCCCTAGTATCCTGCTATATATTGCGGGCTCGCTACCTCTAGAGGTAGCACTTCCCGCGAAGAACGTAGCTGGACCGACGGATGTACGTGCTTCACGCAGGTTATTCAGCTTAAGGCTCTGAGATTACATCAGATTCCTTCGAGCGACCTAACATCGCCGGAGGATAGCGTGACGCTCTGGTCTTGGTGCACTTACTCGTTTGTAGAACCGCTCTTCGGTGTCGCCATGCGCCATACACTGGATGAGGCAGATGTATGGCGGCTCTCACCATATTTCCAGCATAAGAACATGTTTGAGAAATATATCGCGTACCAGAATCAGTGAGGAGATATGAATACGTCCTTTGCTCGCAAAAGTCAAACCTTCCTGTTTCAGGCATCCCACGTATTCGCTTCTGCGTTTTCTTCTGGAGTCAAACATACTGGACCTCTCTCTGGACATCCTGCTGGAACTGTGGGTAGCAGTCGTCGGTAAGTCGTAAAGTGCCAGGAATCATGCAATAATCTTGACAAGGCTACTCAGGTTTCGTGCCTCCCTATGCCCTTCAGCAAATCTTGTCTGCCCTAGCAGATGACACGCCGGAGGCACGACGAAGAGCGTTCACATTCGCACTCTTCACCTTTCTAGCCCATCTTTCCTTTGCACAAACTGCCTTATTCCAGAACTTTCACACCCGAAGATCATACGAGCGCACGAGGGGTCAGCTTTTCTGCGCCCTTCATTACAAGGCATTGAAGCGACGCGACGTGAGCGGGATAGCAACCAAAGACGACTCCTCAACGGAGAATGCAGACCTCGGAAAGGTCGTCAACTTGATGCAGTGAGTGTTTGTTGATCTACCAGAGACGTAAAGGCTGAGTAGGCCACACAGGGGTGATGCTTACGCCGTGTCTCAGCGGTTCTGGGATTTCTCCAAAATCTTTGTTGCACCTGTCCGACTGGTAATAGCTCTGGTGTTTCTTTACAGGTATGTTCGTGTGTGCCGTGTCGCCTCCTCCTAATCATCTCGTTGTCTATTCAGTGTACTGGGTTGGAGTGCCTTCGCGGGAGTCTTTGTAGTCCTTCTGGCGTATGCTTTAAATTATCCATTAGCAAAGTATAATATCTTCGTGAGATATGCGTTCATCTCTGCCTTTTCGGAAGGCTCAGACTTCACAGGTTACTAGGTCTTCTTGGAAGGCCAAAGACAAGCGTATGAACATCGTCAATGAGTTGTTTCAAAACATACGCTTTTTGAAATTCTATGGCTGGGGTAGGTAGGGCTAAATGGTAGACTGCGCGACACTGACGTCTTCCCTTCCTCTTATAGAAAATCTATGGGCGCAGAAAGTCAAGAGTTCAAGAGAAAGCGAACTGCGATGGCGCGTCAAAAATAATGTAGTCAATACTGCCATCGCCTTCATTTGGCAAGTGTTGAACCTCCTTTGCACGGTGATCCTCAATTTGATTGTATCGGCACGATAGGACATGGATTCCTTCCGCGACTATGCTCTCCGCGTTTTTGTGTTATACCCTATTCGCCGGTCAGCGATTGACGGTCTCCAAGGCATTTACTTCCATGGCGTTGTTCTCGCAATTGCAGGAGCCGATGACGTCTCTTCCTGCTCAATTCTTTGGTTTTCTGCATGGTATAGTAATCCAGACTTCCTTGTCGTGAACGACGTCTCATCGATACTCGCCAGCGTACGTCTCAATGCAACGTATCCAAGCTTTTTTGGACGAGACCGAAGTGCCCGACTGGGCATGCTCCTTGAAGTGTTCGACTACCATGCAGGATACAAGGGTCGCCCACCAGATATGCTTTGAGAGAGCCATATTTCGATGGTATTCTGACTCCGAATCCGAGGAAGGGAGGTTCCAATTGGGTCCACTTAATTTTCATTTCCCTCTCGGACAGCTGACGCTCGTTACTGGGCCTACTGGATCTGGGAAGAGCGCTCTCCTAGCAGCACTATTGGGTGGTGGGTCTATTCTTTACCTGTATACCTCCACCTGATGCAGCTCACATGTCCGAAAGAAATGCGTTGTGTATCGGGCGAGGTTCTTTTGAATAAGAGAGGGCACCGCGTCGCATATTGTGCCCAGAATCCTTGTGCGTCACTTCTTGTCTTCGTAGATCTACAACTGATGCCCTCAGGGCTTGAGCATGCCACAATAAGGGAGAATATAGTCTTCGGTGCACGACACGGCTTCGTCGAGGATCGTTATAACCGCGTACTTCGTGCTTGCGCGCTCACGCGAGATCTGAAGGTACTTGAGGCAGGTGATATGACTGGTTAGTGGTCAATAACTCGCGACCTGTTCTTTTACTGATGCAGAGTAGAAATCGGAGAGAAGGGTATTACCCTATCCGGGGGGCAGAGGGCGAGGGTTGCGTTGGCGCGCGCTATGTACTCGGAAGCATCTGTGAGTGAAGTAGGTTCGTAGATGATCACTGATGCGAGTTTTGAGATAGTGCATACTGTTAGATGATCCGTGAGCCACATTCACGTTGACCCGCTCGACTCCCATTTCATAGCCATTCTAGCCTAGCTGCTGTGGATATGCACACCGCTCAACATCTCGTTCAACATTGTCTTCTTGGGACATTGGCACTAGGCCGCACTATCATCCTAGTCACACACCACGTAACACTCTGTCTGCGCGCGGCGTCTTACCTCGTGGAACTGTCCGAAGGACGCGTTCTCCATGCGGGGACGATCCGAGAGCTGCGAGACCGAGGCTTGTTACAAAGTATCGTGGACACGGAGGACGTTACAGCAGCAGAAGAGCCCACACCGGCATCCCCGAGCAGGACCTCAATCGAGAATGAAGCCGACGACGCGCCACCCATCAAGGAGCAAGGGCAGAAGACAACGTCGACAGGGAAGCTAATCGAGGCTGAGGCAAGAGCCGAAGGACGTGTCGCCGGGAGGACCTACATGACCTATATTCGATCTTCGGGGACACTTTCTTGGCTACTGACCTTTGTCCTTATGCTGCTGATTCGTGTCATTAACGTGGCAAACCAGGTAATAGCCTCCTGACTACCGCAGTAGCCCTGCTCTGACAGACTTTCGTGTTTGAAGGTTTTCATCGCAAAATGGGGCGAAGCTTATAATGCAATTGGATCCACGGTCTACCGTTGCTTTTGGCCTGGACATCTGCCACCACCCGACGCTGACGTCAAGCCATGGCTGGCGGTCTACCTATCTATCTCCATCTCCGGAGCCTTTACGCTCTGCGCCTACATTGCTCTGGGCTACTATGCCAGTCTACAGGCTTCTCGCAGCCTATTTATTTCTATGCTGAACAGACTCGTGAGAGCACCCGCCCGATTCTTCGACGTGACCCCCATTGGTCGAATCTTAAACCGCTTCACGACTGATATCAACATTGTCGACGATGCGCTTCAGAATTCCCTTCGTGCAGCTTGTTCGGGCGTGCTTAATTTCCTGATGTCCTTCTTTGTGATCATAGCCGTTGTACCGAGTTTCGCGCCGTTCGCATTGTTCATTGCCTACCTGTATATTCGACTGGCACCACCATTCGTGCAAGCCTCAAGAGACCTCCGTAGACTGGAGTCTATCTCCCTATCCCCTGCGTTTGCTGGCTTCGATGAACTTCTTAGAGGTCTCACGCATGTGCGCGCCTTTGCCATGGAGACTAGGTATCAGGAACAATTCTACAAGAGAGTTGATCGGTTCCAGGGGTTCGATCATGTCTATGTGCGTACTGTTTGCTCCTCTGCGTTAGCATTGTATTCATGGGTGTTCAGTGGCTTGTCAGCGGGTGGCTACGTTGGCGATACGATTGTAAGCTGCTTCTGATTAGAAAGAATAGTATGCTACTTCTTATGGACTGGATCAGGTTTAGGATCTGTCGTTGTCTATTTGACTACACTATTTGCACTGTGGAGTGGCGTCTCAGATGGTTTTGCAGCTTTAGTCATAGTACAGGCTGGTGTTTTCGCCGAAGCATCCAGAGTTCTCGTCAGGTAGGTGTACCATCTCAGGCGTGTTGAAGCTAATTTCACGTTTCGCTAGGGTTGCTGCGCAAGTTGAACTCGATTTCAACTCTGTGGAACGTATTGTAGAGTATCTGGACGTTTCTCAGGAAGCCCCTGCTCTTATCTACGACAAGAGACCTCCCGCTTACTGGCCGAGCACAAGTGGAGAGCTCGCGGTGGAAAATCTGGTTGTTCGATATGCTGCTGACCTGCCCGCCGTTCTGTCGAATCTGAACTTTACCATCAAGGCCTCAGAGAAGATCGGAGTGGTGAGATAATTGTCGATAAACGAGATATGATCATACGTAGTAACGTGGCTTTTTCTAGGTGGGGAGAACAGGATCTGGTGAGTCTGAGTCCCTCTCGCTTTTATGCGTGTCCCATGATCGCGTTCGGCGTTCAGGTAAATCAACGTTGGCGCTTTCAATACTACGTATGGTAGAGCCTAGTGAAGGAAGGATCGTGTAGGTACCAACCTCTATCCGCATCCGATGAGCTTAACACTGTCTCCAGGCTGGACGATATCGACATATCCACAATCGGACTGGATGACTTACGAAGTCGCGTTGTGAGCTCTACAGATGATGATTACTTACTATATGATTGACGGTCGTATTACCAGACCATGGTTAGTCAAGATGTATCACTTTTCTCCGGCACTCTGCGGAGCAATTTGGACCCATTTCAAGAACACACGGACGAAGAATGCTGGGAAGTACTGCAGAGGTGTCATCTTCTGCCGCTCCTGGCGAAAAACACGGACACTGAGATTACACCTTCTGTGATTCTGGATATACCACTGAGTCAGGGAGGGTCACTCAGTGCTGGCGAGAGGCAGCTCGTTGCTCTGGCCCGCGCTGTACTTCGAAAGACTTCGGTAATTATTTTGGATGAGGCCACTTCACAGATTGATGCAACGCTCGATGATCAGGTATATTCAGCTCTCGTCGGGGAGTTGTTGTGTTATACTGAATTGCGGCACAGATACAGAAGACCATCCGGGAAGAACTTTCGAGTGCGATGGTGATAACTATTGCCCATCGTCTGAAGACCATAATTGACTATGACCGAATCCTGGTCCTGGATAATGGGAAGGTGGTAGAGTTCGACAAACCACGGGAACTCCTCAAGAACCCCGATGGTACTTTCAGACAAATGTGCCGACGAAGCGTGGATTGGCCGATGTTGGAAGCGATCGCGTTGCATACGAACAAATAGTCATACTTGAGACATATGTCTTACGTTGAAAACTTGGGGCTCGGACTGTCCCTTTCTGAATCCTGTCACAGACACTGTCAGTAATCATCAGTACTCGGTACTAAGACCATGTCACGTTGCACGTGACTGAACGCGCCTCAAGTTTGAGTTCACGCTGATCATGAACATTATACCCTTGTAACGTTACGGCGCACGCTGCTCATCCACGCATTCCATCTTCTGGACTGCTTTCTGTCCTAGGAATATGTTCGGATTACGATTTTTCTCCGCAGATGACTTTGACGACGAGGGTACGGACTTGGTCACGCCACTGACGATCTTCTTCGCTTTCGGCATATATCTGGTGTTTAGGAGGTACCAGAATAATCGCAATCGACCTATACCCTTCCGTTGGGTTCAGCCTAAGGCAAGTATGCTCGCAGTAGTACCATGTGTCATTCCTTATGCAGGCGTGTATAGGAAGCCGAACCAGGCTGGCAATCAATAGTAATCGAGAGCCCCGGTTTGCGGTCCCATGAGACTAGGCCTGACCTTTTGCCGCCCCTTCATCCAGAAGGGAGGGAATACATTACCTGCTATGATCCAGCGACTGCCTTCCACCTCGATACTATCCTCGCGGATGACTCTTCCGAGATAGAGCGGAAGATAGAATCGGCTCGCACCGCCCAACAAACCTGGCGTAACACTTCCTTTGCTCAACGTCGGAGGGTGATTAGGAGCTTGAAGAAGTGGCTTGTAGAAAACCAGGAGACATGCGCTCGAGTGGCATGCCGTGACACGGGGAAGACGAGTAAGTCAGACGATCACTGTAGGCCAAAGACACTTAAATCACTATATCTCCAGTGATTGATGCGGCTTTGGGTGAAATCCTTACAACATGCTCCAAAATGGACTGGATCATTACGCACGGAGAAAGATATCTCAAACCTGAACCCAGGAGGACAAATTTGATGCTCAGCTATAAACGCTCCGAAGTCCACTACGAACCGCTGGGAGTTGTCGCAGCTATCGTCTCATGGAATTATCGTCCGTCCGATCCACAGTTCTCACACTCTTCCTCAATGCTCACGACATTCCAGCCCTGCATAACGCGTGGTCGCCTATCCTGGCCGGTTTATTCGCAGGCAATGCCGTCGTGGTCAAGTGCTCCGAACAAGTAATATGGTCGACTCGATGGTTCGTAGGAGCGATCAAGGAATGCCTGAAAGCCTGTGGCTACAGTCAGGATCTGGTCCAGGTGCGTACAATTACAGATAAGCGCGTATGTCGATTGAGAGTGTCCATAGTTGGTCTGCTGTTGGCCGAATGCAGCCGAAGCATTAACCAAGTCACCACATATCAAACACATTACCTTCATAGGTTCAGAGGAAGTAGGACGGAAGGTCAGTGGGTTCGGTTATCGTTCACGCATTAGTATAAATCCAGGCTAGGTGGCGCAAGCTGCTACTGAACATTTAACGCCTGTAACCTTGGAACTTGGAGGCAAGGACCCGGTGATTATCCTTCAAGGCACGGATCTTACGAAACACGCAAGCGTCTGGATGAGAGGGGTCTAGTACGTAACATTCACTACCTTCGATCCTTGCGTTTACATCACTTCACCACAGCCAGAATCTGGGCCAGAACTGCATTGGGATTGAGAAGATACTAGTACATTCAACACAATACGATGAGTTGTATGAACTGTTAGTAGATCGGGTCAAAGACCTGCGTTGCGGCGCTGTCCTCCCTCAAGTTGCAGATGACTATCTGCATCCCGTGGACTGCGGCGCCATGATCTCAACGGAGCGTTTCGACCATCTGGAAATGATCATTGAAGAAGCGAAAAGTGCAGGGGCGACTGTCGAAGTAGGCGGCAAACGCCATTCTCATCCTTACCATGCGCATGGCGCGTTCTTTACGCCCACCATCGTTGGTGATGCCCCTCAAATGACGAGAATTGCTCAGGAAGAACGTACGTGGTTATGCTATGGGAAGAAATCACCGCTGACCAGATCTTTTGCAGTCTTTGCTCCGATAGCCCTTCTCATGCCTTACGACACCACTGAAGAAGCTATCGAGATTGCGAACGGCACTCGCTACGGCCTCGGTGCTAGCGTCTTCGGTCCCAACCAAGAAGAATGCATTAATGTGGCAAAACATCTCGAATGCGGGATGGTGTCTGTGAATGACTTTGGTGTATTCTATGTGCGTCTCTCGTCGGTTGTCTTGCATTACGTGTTATGCTAACCAGCTCTGCAGCTGAAGTATGCGCTCTTAGGAATCCACTCTGTGTGAATTACTAAACGACTTGAACAGTCAGGATCTACCTTTCGGGGGCACTAAAGCCAGCGGATACGGTCGCTTTGGTGAGGCACCTGATACACCAAAGTTGTGCAAAGTCACCTGAATTGCTTACAGGAGGGCCTGAGGGCCTGCGATCATTGACGAACCCGAAGGCTATCGTGGTGGACCGGTGGCCTTGGCTCGTACAAACGAGTATCCCGAAGGTATTGGATTACCCTATTGGTTCATTACAGCAAAGCTGGTACGTTACCATGTCCCCGTCTCTAGAATAACTAGCCGTGCTAAAAATCCTGTAGGGCCTTTGTGAGCGGACTCGTTGGGTTGCTCTATGCGGAGGGGTGGCGGGCTCGATTTGATTCACTGACGAAGCTCATTAATGCCGCCGGGCGATGAGGGTATGCTTGGAAGTACGATCTACTGCGCATCTGTATATACTTTATCTACCTACGAAACCTGCATCTTCGAACATTTACTTCGTCCAACAACGAACGTCAAAGCAGATCTCCATGGCGGGCGAGCACTAAAGATAATCTGGCACAAAGTAATGGAGGTTGTTCTATTCCATTAATCATTGTACCGTGAGCCTCCTTCACCGATACAAGTAGCTGCTCGCATGATGCAGACAGACCTCCGTTAAAGTAACTAAATATATAACGCGCACGACCATCTTCTGTCGAATGGGAATGCAGATGTCAAGGAGAGTTGAAGCATAGTATACACAGCTGTCTTTCATGCCTTTGAGCCGTGAGGTGTGTAGCGCGACAGAGGAGTGCCCGGGCACGGACGAGTCCGACGTCCCCACGACCCGGACCCGGAACAGATCAAGCTTCCATGCATTCAGGATCGTATGGTGCAATTGCCTTTCAGGCGATGGAAGCACGCTTTGGATCATTATTGAACGTGCTCATTCGTTCGGCACCTGATTCGTGGAGGTAACGTCGCAGGCTATCAGCTCCGGGCCAGCACCCCACGTTGACGAGGATGCGATAACGGTCAGTCGCTGACAGGGACATATGGCTACTTCACAGCCCATTGAAAGCAATCCGTATAAGACGCTGCTGGTGAGCGAGATGTCTGTATCCCGGAGAGCACTTTGGGAACCTCCAATATCCCCAGTCCTACTCGTTGTTCATTGACTAGAGCGGACCATGCTCAGTATCTTCATGGTCGGGGCCCTGCTGCCCGTAGGGGTTACCCTGGCATCCCCTCTGGTCACTCCGGTAGGACCGATGGACTTATTCAAGAGGATCAGCTCAGGCTGCTCGACAAGCGGGTCCGCATCTTGTCACAACACTACGGTGCAGAAGGACCTCTGTTGCTTTGAAGCTCCTGGAGTATGGCACTTGGACTTGGTCCCGAATCGGCTCATCCTAATTGCATGATGTATTCGTTAGGGACTGTTGCTGCAGACGCAGGTGAGTTCATGTGGTGTGCACGAGGAATCCACGTCAATCGCAAAAGTTTTGGGACACGGATCCTTCTACCGGTCCGAGTGACAGCTGGACAATCCATGGTATGTCATATACATCACGCTGGTACACGTCTTCATTGGCTGAGCATTGGGCATCAAGGACTTTGGCCGGACAAGTACGACTGCATTCGGCTTTTTGAGGTTACAACTCATGGCGTATTGATAGCTGCGATGGCACGTATGAGGAGAATTGCGACCCATCCCGTGATTACACAGACATCGCAAGCGTGAGTTCGATGCAGCGTAATACTCGATACCCACCGACAAAGAAGACAGCTCCTGGAGGACCAAGGCGCCAGTGACACGTTGTCGTACATGCAACAGGTAGACTTATCAGAATGTCAAGGCCTCGCATACTCACATCATGAATTTAGTACTGGGTTGACATCAACGGCAAGAATGAACAATTCTGGGAGGTAAGTCGCAGCTGATGTTGTGTACGTCGCCCACATTCTAACAGTTCATGTCAAGCACGAGTGGAGCACACACGGTACCTGCTACAGGTGTGTTAAGCCAGTGAAATGGGTGACGACAAGCTGATCCTTCTGAAGTACCTTGGAGCCGAGCTGCTTGCCGAGCGGTAGTCCCAAGGGAGCTGAAGTGGGCATATCTACTCCTCTCCAGAGTCGGGGTCCTGACATTCTGCGCAGGCGGTCGCTTTCTTTGAAACGGTTGTAAAATTGTTCAAGGTGCGATGTCATCCAAGTACAGTGGTGCAGCGAAGATTAACACCTGCGACAGACTCTGCCGACATACGACTGGTTAAAGAGTGGAGGGATAACGCCATCTAGCAGCAAGACATATAGTCTGTCAACCCTTACTTCGGCCTTGGAATCCGCTGCCGTGAGTTCATTGGATAGCCACATGGGTAGAATAATAATCAATCTCGATTGCAGGGCGTGAAACCTGCGTTGAGCTGCGACGGAAGCAGCTTGAATTCCATCAGCTGGTACTTTAATCTCAAGGGATCCCTCATTGACGGCAATTTCGTGGCCATCGGTCCGTATACTGCAAGTCTGCGTTGATACCCCATGACAAACTGATCTTGACCTAGATGCTCCCGAGGACGGGTCTTGTCCATCCAGCGGTATCAAGTATCCTCCGAAGTCGGGCTCTGGCAGCGGTGGCGGAACGACCACGGTAATGTCTGTACTTTCATCCTATGCGCCTTCTGCTCATTTGTGATTCCCAGTCAACCTCTTCTGTAAGTCTATGGAAGATCGAGGGAGCAGACAACTGACCTACACTATAAAGGGGCCTGGTCCCACCTCGGGCGGTCTACCGTCCAAAGCACACATAACAGCATCCACCGGCGGTCTATTATCTGCAGGCACATGGTCGACGCAGACGCTCGCTACGTACACGCTATCGGGCTCCACCTCCGGTTTTACGATGTCGACGTCCAAAGGCAAATGCGCTGTCTCGGGCGGCACGCTCACCTGCGGTAGTAGTGTCTCCTTTGCCTCGACGTTCTCAGCGGTAAGCTTACACGTACATGCATCCTGAAACACTTGTAAGAGCTCAAATATGCAGGTCTCATCTGGTGGGAATTTGCTTTTGGCGTATGGCGGTTCCACGGCGTGGACGGCGGACGCGACGCCTAGTGGAACAACCCAAGAAACCGTCTACACCGGCAGCAGTCATTCAGAGGACATCACCTTATCCATTGTGTCGACGTAGAGACATGTAGTGAACATGAACATGTATTGAACGGTATATCGTGTAGCATACATAGCTCCGCGTGATGGGTCTATAACAAGCCGAAGTGCGGCGCACACCGGGATTCTGAAGTAGGGGCAGTGATCATGAGTCAACTAGTCACAGAGCATCACGATGCCACCACCAGCAGACCTCGCGGCGCTGCATCAGAAAGTGCAATCCTCCCTACAAAGTTAAGGACGCGAGTCGCTATAAATGGAAGGTCGAGACACTGTGCGGTAACCCCGCAGCGTCGCGAGGGGCTTCGTCTGAAGTCTGGGCGACTCGCTTCGGAATGGGAATCCTAAGGCGGTGAGGAGGTTGTGTACTCACTGCAATTCATTCGTACACCGGTAACACCACCTCCCATGATCATGAGAAGTTGAATGGTTTTGTATATCAGTACACATGTAGTTTTGATTTTTTGAAACTGAACCCATCATCACAAGTGAAAAATATTGTCCGTGTTTGGGATTGAACCTCCAGCTCACAGCATTGCATCTGAAACAACCCATCACACTAACCGCTGCACTAGCGGCATGCTAGCAATATTCAAAAATAAGATAATATGTTAGTTGGGCAACCGTCTGGGCGCATCCGCTGCAATGGCTCCGCGTCCACTTTGCGAGCCGCTGCGCGACTCGCTTACATAATCTGCGTCCTCAACTTTGTAGGGAGGATTGCATTTCGTCGCTGCATCTCAGCCTGCTACCCCAGACGTTCTATGTGATCCAGCTAAAACCTGGGGAAGCGATCCCTGATAAATTCCTGTCACAGTTGGGGAGCAGCAATAGCACAGCTCTGTTCTCTATTACCAAGAACGTAGACGAAACTACCGTGGTGGGCGAATATGACTCAAAGGCGGATATTCCAGAGACATACGCAGATTGGAGATGCATCAAGATAGCTGGACCGATGGATTTCGGTGAGCAGTATGGCCAACGAGTGCAAGCCTAGCAATTTGTAAGCACTGAACAATCGTAGGGCTGGTCGGTGTCATATGCAGTTTCACCATGCCTCTCAAGGCGGCAGGGGTACCAGTTTTCGCCATTTCCACATGGTACGGCCGACAATTTCCAGGCGATTCGTTACAGTGTAGTCGTTGATTGAGGGCCATACAGGAACACGGACTATATTTTGATTCCCAGAGATAAAATTGAGATTGCAAAGAGGGCCCTAGAGGACGATGGCTGGACGTTCACGCAGTAGCCCAGAGACAAGAGACGGTGTAGCAGGCGAATGTGGTCAAAGCAACCTGGGTCAATGAGCCTGAATAAACGTTATATGGACATTCGCGACCGAGTCTCCATAGCTAAGTGGTTATAGCATGCGATTGCAGATCGCAGGGTCCCGTGTTCAAATCACGGTGGGGACTACCCAAATGTCATTTTCCTTGTCTATTACTTCTTGATTCGCGATTGCTGCAGGGGAAGACTGGTGGTGTGACGTGGATGAGAGTGGAAAGCCCGTTCGCAGCTGGATGTTTTTTTTTTCACGTTCACTGTGACACTGACACTGACAGTGACGAATGGCGTCACATGACAAGTGGCAATTCGTGTTTCTCATAAGCCGATCGGCATACGCTTCGCAATCCCACTCTGTTCACTGCTGGTGAGCAGACCTTGCCTGGCGCGTCTCCTCTTCCACAATGCGACCAGCAGCTTCCAACATTGCACGACGGGTTGCTCGCCGCCAGACCCGACGTGCCCTTTCCCAATTGACCGGGGACCCGTCAGTTCAAATAACTACTTTGCCGAACAGGATACGGGTCGCGACAGAGTTCACTCCTGGCCATTTCTCCGCTGTGGGATTGTACGTTGATGCGGGCTCTCGCTATGAGACTCCTGAAACCTCCGGAGTGAGCCATTTCATAGACAGGATGGCCTTTAAGGTGTGTTATATGACCTGGAGTATATGCTGCCCCGTCTCATTGTACCGTAGTCCACGCGAAACAGGTCGGACGAAGAAATGTCGACTGCAATCGATGCCCTAGGTGGACAGATCATGTGTTCCTCATCCCGAGAAACAATCATGTACCAGTCCTCCCACTTTCCCCAGGGAACGCCGCTGGCCATGTCGCTCATCTCTGATACAGTCTTGAATGCTCAGTTTTTGCCGGAAGAGATAGACGCGCAGAGGGAGGCTGCTCGGTATGAGATTCGGGAGATCAGTTCCAAGCCGGAGATGATCTTACCCGAGATTCTTCATGAAGTCGCCTATGACTGCAAGACGCTAGGTAACCCTCTGCTGTGTCCGGAAGACCGAATAGACGTCATAAACGAAGAGATGATTCGAAATTTCATGAATGAGTGGTATCGTCCAGAGCGGATGGTTATAGCTGGAGCCGGGGTGCAGCATGAAGAACTCCTTGAGTATGCTGATAAACACTTCGGATCGTTGAAGCCTTCTCCGTTGCCCTCTCCCCAGACCTCTGCTCGGCAGGGTGCGCAGCAGTCTGTACCCCCGCATCTTCTACCTTCATCGTCGAATCCTTCCATCTACAAGTCACTCACGCGTGCCGCATCCTCGTATCTGTATCCGACGCAACCCGTTTCCCCGGATATGGTACCTCCCCTGCACCCTACCCGGGACACTCGTGCGACGTACACCGGAGGACATCGTTTTGTGTATGACCCGACACAAGAGTTCAATCACCTCTATCTTGCGTTCGAAGGTGTCGGGATTCATGATGACGATATCTATGCTCTTGCGACTATGCAGGTAATGCTTGGCGGCGGTGGTAGTTTCTCCGCGGGTAAGTCGGATGATACTCGTACTGAGGTCTATATTTACCGGTGATTTTTGCAGGTGGCCCGGGCAAGGGCATGTACTCCCGACTTTACACCCACATCCTGAATCACTACCCTCAGATTGACCACTGTGCTTCTTTCCATCACATTTACACAGATTCATCTCTGTTCGGCCTGTTTGCTTCGTTCGTACCCGCTGGGCCGAAGCACCAGGGCAACTCGCCGTCGCAGATACTGCCGCATCTCGTTCACCAGCTGAGCCTCTTGCTCTACTCCCCTCTCACAAAGGGTGAATTGAGCCGTGCGAGAAACCAGCTGAAGTCAAGTTTGGTCATGGCGCTGGAGAGTCGTGCAGTCGAGGTGGAGGATCTCGGCCGCCAGGTCTGTAGTTCTCTGCATCTTCGCCTGAGTGGAGGCTGATGTTTACAAATTCCAGATCTTGGTGCACAACCGCAAAGTACCTGTGTCGGAGATGTGCGACAAAATTGACGAGGTGACGCCCGAATCGCTTCGCCGCGTCGCTGCCCGTGTCTTCGGCCCAGACTCTGGCAACAAGGCCACGGTCGTATGCATGGGACATGAGGATGTCGGTGACTGGCGTTCTGTCTTGCGCAAGTATGGGGTCGGAAGCGCTTGAACGTCGTAACAAATCTGTACTTTAGCACATTACACACCCATTAATATACACCGCTTCATCCATCCCCAGGGATCTTTCCACTGGCGATCAATTCATTCTTATCCATCTGGAGTCTCGTCTGGTCTTTAGATATATCTCCGCCCCGGGTTCGTTGTCCATCCACGCTGTGCGCTTGTCGGGGATGAGGTTGGTTACCTATTGTAAGAGGGTTAAGGACTCCTCTCTTGCCTGATACTCATTACACACCAAAAACCGTCGGTTCACAGCGAACATTCCAAGTCCGCCGCCCTCTCCGGAGTACATATGCAGTGCCTCCCAGATGGTTATGTGGACTCGCCGGTAAGCCCGCCGTTTGCATGTTCTGGCGTCTTCTGCGACTATTACCTTGAAATTGTTAACTTTCCGTGGTGGGCATTGCTCCTGGATACTTTCGTCAATCCACCAGAGACGGTTCGCAGGTACTTTGGCTACTCACTGCCAAGTCCTTCTCCATATCGTCTCGCGAGGTCTCACGCAGATCGACACAACGTCTATGGATCATACGGCATAGGTGTCTCATCCCAGACACGTCCAGACGACGCATCAGAGAAGTGAAGTCGCTTCCTTCTTCAAGATCCTCCAAGTAAGTCTCTAGTTCCGGTGGCGGATCTAAGACCGAGTCTGAGCCAATGGTCAGCTGTAAAACATACTATCTTACGCACCATCTTCTTCGTCCTTGGCCTGGGTGCTGCCCGCCTTTTGCTCTAAGCGACTGGCATACCCCTCCAAAGTGCGGATCTTATTATCAAACCCTTCCCGCCATTTCATGGCCATAACCTCTCGACGTTTCTAGACTACTGTCAACGGAGGGGGCAGGACACGCCCTAGTGTTCACGTACCTCCCACTGCTCCTGAGCCTTCCTCTCCTCTTTCTCGTCATGGCCACCGATGTTCCGCCTCTTTCCGTCCTCTAATTCTATATATTCAATAAATGCTACGGGATGTACCTATGTTGACGCCGTTAGATAGGGTCGTCTGTGCCATAATCATAGAAGTCACCTTCACTATCTTTAAATCCATTATAGTGACAATTCCTCCGTCCGGATTCAGGCTTCCTAACGTCACAAAGGATGGGCTATGGCGGAAGCCGAGCTTCTCGTGCCAGGGCGCAAGATGACAAGAGTTCCCCGATAGGACAAGGTGACACCGATCGTATGCCTCGAGTGCTTCGGCAGCCTCTTTGTGGTCGGACGACAGCTAACTTATATTTAATTCAGCAAACATTGGCCGAAGTGCGTGATACTTACTCGAGCATTCTGCACGCATATTTTCCTGCCAATCCGGATCTTCCCCTTCCGGATGGCCCTTGCTAGTGCACCGTCAACTTCCGCACGAAGTTTATACCATCCGTCGGTTAGTTCCAGCCACGGTATTTGGTCGGTCACCAAACTACCCTCATCCTCACCACCTGAGGACCAGGTTACGTTGGTCACACAGAGGACCATTGGTAAGGAAGCAGGCGTATCTTGAGCTGCAATCAGTCGAAACGGTGGTCGCGCACCGCCTTCTAGTTCTTTCTCGTATCTGTGGATTCTCAGCGGTCTAGGAAGTTGAAAAGAGAAGATACTCTCACCTATACAGAAATTGATGCAAAACATGTTCCCAGCACCATCTACGGGTTCTCGGGTCCTTCTCGGCCTCTGGGTCTAAGCACACCATCCCCGCTAATTTCCATAGAATCAACCCCCAGTGATTATCCACCCATGCCTGCGTGGCAAGGTGACACCCTTTAGCTAGAAGTTGTGCCAGCATCGCCGGCGTCCCACGCATGCTATGGTCTCCCGAGCCCTGCGAAGGTGCAAGGAGCGTCGACGGTGGAGCTCTGAAAGCGTAGTACATGGCGGTCGCCGGGGTTATCTGTTTCAACTCTTCCACATTTCTGAGAGTACCCATTTGTCACGGATCGCTATTCTCACAGAGAAGAGCACTCACATTCCTAATGACTCCAAATCTGCCCGAGTGCGAGTCCGCGGCACGAGACCACATGATGATAGTGTTTGACGATCCGGGGGAGGAGCTATTCCGCAAGTTAGTCGGAAACACGACCAAGAGGTGCCTACTCACTCATGTCGAACCAACGACCTTGCGACCCCTGCGGAGCACGCTTCTTGTTGATTGGCGAACTGGGAACCCGTGATGCAACACTCAAAACAGAAGCCTTTGTTCGCGCCATCTCCTGCTCCAAACGCGCCCTTCCCGGTTCTCCTGGCCCGAAACCAGATTTGAACGGCGTGACAAACTTTTTAACAGGCGCAGAAGGGACAGGACCTCGACGAGGGGTGAATCCGAGGGCCTTGCGGGGTGTGATGGAAGTAGCCGTCGCAGTTGTGGACAAGATAGACTTTGCGGACATAGCGTTAGGTAGAGTCTGAGCAGCACTTGAACCGCCATGCGCAGCCAAAGGTCTCCGGATGGGATTCAGGGGTGAGTTCACGTAATCAGGATTCGAAGGAGTAGGGTACTTTGCTTTCAGCGGATGATTAGGAAGCAACGGGGACTTGAATGCCTTGGGTTTTGCGATCCCGCCGAGGGGACCCTTTACGATAGCCGGACTTGTAAACCCAGAAGAACCTTTAGAAATATCTGGGGTGTTCGATATAGGACGTGCTTGTATGTTGCGCACCGATCGCAAGGGCGGTCGAGTTGGCGTATCCGGCAGATCGTCAGGTATATCAAAACCCGTAGAATCCTCTTCCTCCCATCTTTGCATGCGCTCTTGGGCGCGTCTGACAACTTCGGGTGGTAACGCGTATGGATCCGATGCACCCACCCTACCCTGAACGATAGAGGAGGGCCCTGACTGATTCGAACAGGCAGCAGTCGTCCGCGCACTTTGGAATCCGAGCATCACTGGACTTCCGGGCTCCTCCGTAGAAAGTAGCGACTTCTCGACGGACTTTGCGCTTTGAAAGCCGGAGAAAGCGGCGGGGGGATTTATGGCGGAGTCTTCAATTGACCTTGCACTAACAAAGCCAGGAAGAGACCCCTCGGGGTGGTTGGGAGGGCTTGGCGGGAAAATAGTCCTAGCACTGCGGAAACCGGGTAAGGATTGCGACAGGTCCACATCTATGCCTGTGATCTCGAACAGATTGGTATTGTCACTCTCGACGACGAAGGACTCATCGACCTCAAAATCAAGTCCTGCAGCACGAAGTGACTTAGCGCTTCTGAAGCCCACATCCGTCGGCACCTTGGACTCTGACTGTAACCAAGCGGCGTAGTTCATCTCGGAAGCAGCTTCGGGAGAAGGGCTCGGAATCGTGCAGGAAATGTTTTGAGGCAGACGTGCGGCTGAAAAAAAACCGAGATGGAGGACAGATGCCTCCTTTTCCCTGTCCACTTCATGCCCGGCTCCTGCGTGCACCCCAGTTGGCGCCGTGGAAGATTCGAGAGGTTCGTCCAGTTGAGATCTGCGAAGCTGGTGTGACTGCAGCAGATCAGGAGGAACAAATCGCGGAGAGCTCCAACCAATGTCTTGACTTCCCGTCGTCTCTCCCTTCGCGCCTCCTTGGCCCTTGGTATCGACGGCTGCTGCCAACGCTTCCGCAATAGCACGACTTCTCTTCAGCCTCGCCTCGTAGCTCTCAATCTTCTTCTGTGAGCTTGCTTGCGATAGCATTTTTTGAGAGAGTTGCTCCTCCAGCTCATCCAGAGCGTCGAAATCGCTCGCAGTCATCTCCTCGAAGTCGTAGGCAGGAGACGACATCCTTTGTCTCTTGCGTGGCGGCGAGTAGTCTAGTCATACGGATGTCAGATTTCTTAGTCTTTTCATTCAAGCGACTGGACTTACCAGTGGACGCCATTATGTCTGACAAGCGAGGTCGGTCTTGGCCCTGAGGTTCCCCGGAAGAGACGCGTCGATGATCGTAACGCGTCCCGGTCACGTTATCTAATTATGTAAGCAAAATAATTACCGTCTTCGGATTTGTCTGTCCGATTCTCCCTCTAAGTAACTCGTTCCGGAATCTGTGCCATGCTTTCCTGTGTGATTGCGACCAGGACGACAAGGATAGGAAAGTTGAACGACATCTACGTCAAGGGCTAGTTACGCTCCAACTCGAGCGCCGGCTCTGGAATGGTGCATACTCATCAGGAAGGTGTTGATGGTCGTATATGCTGCAGCATCTAGTATCTACAGTGCAGAGTCGCGGAGTACAATGTTTGAAGAAACGAAAGCAATGGAAAGAGTCTCCTTTGAGATGTGCGCTGTATAGCTCCAGAAATTGTAACGGTAAAAACTCAGAGGAGAGACGATAGAGGCTTGCAGTTGAACGTCCGAATCCGAGAGAGTTGGCAGTTGTGGCCACTCCGCCGATCTCGTCAGCTCGCGTGTCTTCAACCTTCACGGACTTGACTATTTCGTATCCGACCAAACTCACCCAAGCTGCTATTACACGCTGTAACGTCGGGAACATTGAGTTTCTAAAGTCTCTCTGTTTTTGCATTCCAGCACGGAAGCCCGCATCCAGGTCCGACCATCTAGCGGCCATGAACGGTGCTAGCGTCCAGACGAACGGGAGAACCGCGAAGCCACCACCTACAGGCCCTGCACCGCCCGCTCCTGCTTCTGCACCCCCGGTCCCGCCAAACCACACCCAGCCACAGCAACCACCACGTTCCAATTCGCATGGACCACCTCCGGCTGTCAACGGCGCGCACAGTCATCCACAGAAGGGGAAGAAGAAGAATGAGCCTCCACCCGTTGACCCCGCGACTATGTACGAAAGCTTGAAGAACAGGATAGCCGCTCTGGAGGAGGAGGAGGTGCACGAGGAAGAGGAAGAGAGGAAGTTCGGTGAGTGGCATATACCTACTACATCACCCCGAAGACTAAGTCCCCATAGCTGAGGAGGCACAGAAGTCTGTGAAGGGGATGGGAGAGAATGCTATCCATGCCAAATACATTGAGCTGGCGAGTCACCTCAGCTAATCACTTCTGTATGGGCTAACCTCGCACGGTCAGTTTGCAGAGCTGAAGAGGATGGAACGAGACCATGCGAAGGAGAAGCAGAAGTTGGTGAAGGACAAGGACGCAGCTAAGAGCCAGCTCACCAAAGCCAACCAGACGAAGACGAAGATGGAGAACCTTGCGCGAGAGCTGCAGAAGGTACGTGAAATGTACAAGCTGTTTGAGCTAACACTCATTCCCTACCCTAGGATAACAAGAAGTTACGAGTGGGTAATCTCTACTGGAGTCTCTCGAATGGCTTTTGACACCCTCGGTAGGAGGACAGCAAACGGTTAGCGCAGTGCGTAGAGGACGCTCAGGACGAGGTACTTTTCTTACCAAATTCTTTAATACAGGGGTTGACCTTCAAGCACCATTAGATTGCACAAATGAAGAGCGACATGGCCAAACGTGCCGAGAAGGCCAAGCTGCAGGACGTCAAGTACAGGGAAATGCCGGATATTGTGGTGAAGGTAGTCTGCCGATATCGGCAGGAACTATTTTTCAAGATTTCGAGAAAGACGAAGCTGTCTCGGCTCTTCAATGCGTGGACTGAGAGGATGGAGACGTCGTCGAGTAAGAAAGTGGAGAACGTCAAAGCACTACCAGGGCCATCGGGGCCCAGTTCAAATACCCAAGTGAATGGCACAGCAAAACTGGATGGTGACGTCCAGAGCGGCCCAAGCTCTAACATGCAGTTCATCTTCTCCCATGGGGGCAGAACACTTGAGGCTGACGAGACGCCAGAGGAGGCTGGCCTGGAGGACGGTGATGAGATCCTTGCTGTGGAGTTGATGGACCTGACGGATGGCCCAGAGACCGACGCCTTGGTCAGTGCAACATGGAGTCCACCTGGTTCGATTGTATTCGGCTAACTCTCCTGGATAGGATGAGAGAGTGGAGGTCAGACGGCAAAAGCTGAAGAAGCATTGGACGGAGAATCCTCGAGAGTAAGTCTAAGTCTGGCATCTGAAGGATATGCTTGACAACATTCTTCCATTCGCTTGCATAGAGCGAAGAAGTCCCTCGAAGATATGTTTGATATTGTGTATGTGTCGTATCACATGCCGCTTCGTGCGCTTACTGAATCCAGCATATGAAGCGTACGCGAGAGGCTGAAGGAAGTTTTGCGGCAATATGAGCTGCGAGAGCGACACTTCGAATGCGTGATTCGATCGAAGGAACTCGAAGTTCTGTTATCTCGAGCTCGAGCAGCGGAACAAAAGCAAGTGGCTGAAGGGGAGAAGGCTAGGGCAGAGTTTCTCGAGGAGCAGGTAGGTGATTGGTCTTCTTCTCTGACAATCGAAGCAGTGCTCACCTGTTTCAGAAAAAGCAGATGGTTAAAGAGCTCGAGAGTGCTCAGGAAGGGCAGAACATGCTGATTGATAAATTAATCAGCTGCTGCACTGATGTAAGTGATGTTCTTTTAGACAGGAGTCGGTCTTTGACGCTCTGAACTAGCCGCAGTCTGAGCGAACACAGCGAATATTCGCTTCCCTCCGAGAAGAGCTGGAAAGGCGGAGAGCCGCGGCGGCGGCACCTCCTCCAGATCCTCCCTCCGGAGACTAGCATTGACTGTTGTGTAAGGAGCGTCACCACCTAGGACTTCCCGAGTAGTCATCATCCGCATTTGTCGTAAGTTAATGGAACCCAAGCGGAGCGCATATTGTCACGCAACCCGGTATTCTGCATCTGAAACATAACGATTAAGAGTAAATCTAATAAGTCCAACAGAGTCCCAGACAAGTTCGTGCTGTCCGTCCTTGAGATTATACTGATACAGGTTATGCTAAAGCGTCCAATTCTTCCAATGCTGATACCGATCCGGAACGAGTGAAGGTTTTGCCCTTGACCGATTCTAATCCCTCTCCCGCGTAGCTGACAAGTGGCGAGATTTCGATCTCGACGCCCTCCTTGACCTTCGCACCCGCTCTCTCCAAGAATCGCCTATGCTGGGCAAGCAAGTCGCGCCTGCTCGTATCGGGATCGTCGGCACCCGTACCTGGTGCGTTTTTGAGGGGGCTGAACTCCTCGTCGCGAGCAACCTCGAGCACCGCGAATTGCTGCGTGAAGGGGAAGACGTCGAAGACGAACATCTCCAGCTTCATACCATTCGGCTTGCTGGGCTTAACGACCTGGGCGCTCTCAAAGTCGACGTACGGGATCTTCTTACGCGCGATGTGGAACGCCAGCTGGTGCTCGAACGATTCCACCTGGTTTAAGAACTTCGTAGTGTAGAAATGATTGGCAATGTTTCCGGCACGGAAGGATAATTCCCCAGTTTTAGGGTCGCGTTTCTCCGCCTGCTCCTTGGTTATTTCAGAGTACTCGACAACGCCGAATTTGTTGCCACGACGCGCGACGACCCCGACGGACTCCGAGGGGTGGGCTTTCGGTACGACCTTCGCGGCGCAGTCGACTTGCTTTTGGATGCAGTAGCCAATGAACACCGGGTCGGCTACTTTGACGAGGCAGTTGTCCACGCAGTAAGCGTGCACATAGCCGATCTTGCGCTTCTGCAGGTCTGACAGGACTGTGTGCGAAGGGTCGGAGGGAGACAAGGGTTGGCGAGTAGCGGCGTATAGCCCGCCGTTACCATCGGGCGCAACGGCAATCCTAGATGGAGAGTCAAGCATCACTTTACCCTCCATAGTTAAGCAGGGCAGGGTACCTGGAACATTATGGTGACGTCAAAAAAATCCTTACACGATGTGGACACCACGTTTACTTACCCTGCTCAAATATCACCACATTCTTGGGGTCAAGTCCGAAATAAGAGTGCTTCTTGAAGAAGTCCTCGGTCTCTCGGCGCGTCGGACCACTTGTCATGACATACCATGGGATGACCACAGATCCAGCCGCCTTCCCGCACTCCTTCTCCGCGACCTGCTGCAAGCGAGCGATGCGCTCGGCCTGGTACTGGAAGAGGGACTTGTGTGACGGGAGCCCAATATCATAGCAACCCTTCGGCGCGCTGCTCCCCAGCCGCGTCCCCTGCCCACCAGCCATCAGCAGAACGCCAACCTCCCCTCTCGCGATCGCCTGCAGCCCGATACTCCGCCATTCCTTCTCCTTGTGCGGCACGCCGACCACGGAATCGCTAGCTTCCTCTGGGAGGGGCTCTATGGGCTCCGCCTTCGCATTTGGGTCATTCGCCTCCTTCTCCGCGCGGATGGCATTCTGGTAGATGTGGTTGACGCGCTCGATGTCAAGGGATTCGAGCTGCTTCACGAGCGCGGCGCGCTCGGTCTCGGATAGTTTGGGCCAGAAGTGGAAGACGTGCCCCTGCCCAGCGGCCTCGTAGCGTTTGCGCAGGGCGTCGATAGACGTGGACATGATGGTGGTATCGTAAGGAGAATAGGGGTCGTTGAAGGAAAGGCGTGGAAGGAACAGTTGCTTTGCTGGAGGCGGCTGGCAGGATGTGGCTGATTATTATAGCTGGCTGTTCGGGCTGTACCGCGGAAGTAAACCCGGCGCGAGGCTGTATGTTGTCACCTTCACAGCCCAGCGTTCTTCATCCTGGCGTTGGCTTGCCCCCTTTGGGATACCGCTCACGACTATATGCAGCTGTTACATCCAACGTTCGTGGCTGTCATCAGAGGCCCTAGACTAAGACATCGGACAGCCTTCGGAGTATCTTGCTGCATTCGACGCCTGTTGCATTAGCTGCCTTGTCAGTGGTTTAGTTCTGTGAGATTCCATCCGGGTGCCATTGAGTGAAGCAAAGATAGCGAGGAATGTGTAGAACGCGCGGCGTCGACTGAAGGGTAGATCGTCATGATTAGAGTGCATTTATGCTATCAGGTCTTTATCTGAATCTGCAATTCAACTGCCTGGCGAGTACAGTCTGTACACGAGGTAGGCCTTGTGTCTCGATATAAGGTGAGGGGATATTCTCGGTTGATCACCTCGTTCGTATATGTTGCGACACTCGAGTCCTATCGTATCATCATCTAGAGGAGGGTCTACGTGGATCAAGGTAGGCCAGCCAGCATCGACCTGTGTCATGTTGGATGGAAGTCGGGTGCCTGCTTCTCTCAGGTGAGATTTCTTCTGTCCCAGTGCACATGCCTACCCATCTTGTTACCTCGCCTCGCCTCGACTACTTGTGGTGTGCAAGAGGAAACATCTCTTCTAATGCAGGATGGACAGGACACCGTTGAGGTGGGTTGTGGTCTTGCCTTCTGTGCCATGCATTAGATCCTACAACCCACCGAGGCTTCGGCCACTCGGAAAATCAATGGCAATCCTTGTGTAGCAAACTGACTGATGAACAATGAATGCTTCAGACTCCAGTTAGCGCTGTGTAACATGATCGCATTCATCCCTCTATACGGTAAAAATGCAAGTTCAGTTCGGAACAGCAAGGCTTGCCTTTGGAATGAATTCCGCCGAGTGTCTTGTGTATGAGTGCAGTTTGCGTTGTTGTTTCTCGTATGCCCGCTCTGTAGTGAAATGCCAAATAGGGTGTGTGTCTACCCGTATCAGGAGTCCCCACCAATTGCACACCGCCGGCTATCATGATCGTCATCCGGGGTAAATCTATTCGATCTTCCAATCGAGTTATCTATCTTGACAGCCCGCGCAGTATGTAGCACTACTGCCACTAGTACCACTACACCCTCCTGGCTGCGTTACGTTGTTAATTATTTTGCATATACATGTACGAGCTCGAGGATATATCCTCAACACCCAAACATGTCGGTATAAAGAAACCTCATAAGGGGGCCAGCGGCACCGAAGGAACCGAGCTTGGAAGCGGGGAAGAAGCATGAGTCGATCGAAACGCTAATTTACTGCCAGAGATTTCTTTGCTGTCTATCAACGAAAAGCTGAATCGCGTTGTATGCTTGTATGGAATGCTGCAACACATGGTCAACGTTCCCTGTCTCTGTCTGTCTTTCTTGGTCTGGGCATTGCTGGAGGTGGTATGCAACCGCGCTGGAGCGTGACTGCTTCGGAAAATATTATGCGACAGTTGATGTCAGTGTACGTAGGCCCCTTCACTCCGTCGAAGCCCCCACACGTGAGCTCACCCTGCGCCAGCCGCAGTCCTGCAACCCGTTGGAGTAGGGATCGGGGATACGAATCTCATATGCGGAGCAGGGTGCTGCCAATGGCAACCATTTCACGTCAGATATAAGTACAACATGGCCGGACGTGAAATGGTTCCTTGCCAGCCTGCTCTCTCCAGCGATGTCCTCGATACGTTCAGTCATCGCCGCCGGGCTGCTTGGCCTTTCGCTCCTTACCCGCGTTCTTGGAGATAACCCCATTAACCCCGGCTTTCCGTATGGCGCACAGAAAGTCCGCGGTGTCAACCTCGGCGGTTGGCTCGTGCTAGAGGTACGGCGTGTCAGTTGCCAGCCTCAAAGTCCGTGCTGACGCTCGTGTCCCCGCATAGCCTTGGATCACTCCCAGTCTCTTCGACCAGACTGGGAACGACGCGATCATCGACGAATGGACGTTCGGGCAGTATCAGGACTACAATACCGCACACAGCGCGCTTGTTAACCACTGGAATTCCTGGATAACCGAAGAGGACTTCGTCCAAATTGCCGCCGCCGGGTAGGTGCCGTCGTGGTGGAATCATCTCGTGTACTCACTGAGTACACCATGCAGCCTCAACCACGTACGAGTCCCGATCGGTTATTGGGCCTTTGAGGTCGGTCCCGGCGAGCCTTACATACAGGGCCAACTACCCTATCTGCAACGAGCCGCTACATGGGCCGGCAATCATGGTCTGAAGATGATTGTGGATCTGCATGGAGCACCCGGCAGTCAGAATGGGTAAGAATTTGTAAGGACCATTGCCACGAGGCGTACTGAACGGCGTTATTTCCAGTTTTGACAACTCCGGCCAGAAGATGGATTTCCCTCACTGGCATTCCAACGGTACTAACGTTGCTCGTACGAATGCCATCATCAAGAGAATCGCCGACATGTTCAAGGACAACGCGAATGTTGTCACCACCATCGCTCCTCTGAACGAGTTGAGTCTAATCGAATAGACGGAGTTACTTCGGCACTGATGTGATGACTTCCCTTCGGCGCATGTAGACCTGCAGGCTTTGATGGACAAGATGTCCTCGATACAGTCCGTCAGTACTGGCGCGACTCGTACGGCAACATTAGGTAAGGACGTTGTACTATGCGTCTGTACTTCTCGTTCGCTGACGCGAGCTTGACTTCACCAGATATCCCTATGGCAGTTCACGGGAGAGCAATACCCTGGTTCTACTCCACGATGCTTTTCAGCCTCTGGATTACTGGAACGGCTTCTTGACAGCGCCGGATGCCCAAGGCGTCGCGATGGACACCCACATCTACACCATCTTCTCCGACCAGGAGGAATCCATGTCCGAGTCCCAGCATATATCCACCGTGTGCGGGAAACAGTCGTCCCTCTCCTCCTTCGACCTTTGGGTGATCGTGGGCGAGTGGACCCCCGCGAACACCGACTGCGCGAAGTACCTGAACGGCCGCGGCGTCGGGGCGCGGTACGACGGGTCCTACCCCGGCTCCCCGTGCGTAGGGAGCTGCAATGGCAAGACCGGCGCCGCGTCCTCGTTCAGCTCGAGCTACAAGACGTTCCTGCGGAAGTTCTGGGAAGCCCAGGTGATCTCGTACGAGAAGGGCTCCGGCTGGATCCAGTGGACGTGGAAGGCGGAGAACGCGGACGAGTGGTCGTACCAGGCGGGTTTGGCCAACGGATGGATCCCGCGCGATCCTACCGACTTGCAGTATCCGAACATCTGCGGGTGAGCGAGTCAAACAATACTAGTACTTCACTGTCTTTTTCCTTTTCTTGACGAACTCTTGATGCCTGTGACGGACTTATTATAGAAATCAGTAGTACCCTACCTAGACACGTTATAGTACCGCCTGTCCCTTACATGGACCCTATGGACCCTTCGCGTTGTAGACTTATACACCTGATTCTATGAATACGAGGTCGAAACCAAGTCAAGTAGGCTGACTCCTGAGAGGAGGCGCAATGACCCTGGGGTGACGTGAACGAATCCCTGGGGCACGTGACTATGTGACATGTACGCGTTGGGCATGATTCCCGAGCATGCGCGTCCTGAACTCTCTTCGAAGACTTTTATACCCTACTACAACTTTCTAACACCTACTGCAGCGGTAGACCTGCCCTCTGGTTAGGGGAGCTCTGCAGGAGCGAAATCTGGTTTGCTCTGCTTTCTGGGTGCTTTCACCATGAGGATTCTGGTTGTCTTCGTCCTGGCGTTCTGTACCTGCGCGTTGTCTATCCCTGTCCGACCAATCTCTCCCGAGGAGGCTCTAGACGATGGGTATGGGCGCCCTTTCTCGGCAAGAGACATAGGCGGCATCTTTGGCGAACCCGGAATGGAGTACCCTCCCCCTGCGGAACCCATCATGAAGGACCCGTTCACTACCCTCAGGCCAACTGGCACGCTGGCAAGCCTCTTGACGTCCCTGCCGAGCACAAGCGCCAAGATGTCCTCGAAGACTAAGGATGCGACGCACTCGTCCAGCGCCGACCCCGCCAATCCGACGTCTCACTCCGTCATCGGGACGCCAAGGGACCCTCCGCTCACCAGCCTCGCCACGGATCCGGCGACAAGAGCAGTACAGACGACCACCGCCGCAGCCGCGAGTACAAGCACCTCTTCCTCCCCGCCAGGGCTAGCGGGCGTGTCGACGCAATGGAAGGTCATGGGCATCGCGGTCATCGCTATCAGCGGGCTCGCGGTCATGATCATCACCGTCGTGTTCTACGACCAGTGGTCGCGCTTCGCGCTGGACCTGCTCTGCTGCGGGAAGCGCAGGAAGGACGACGGCGGGTTCGAGGAGTTCGTGCCGGACTGGGAGAAACGCAGCTGGGAGGTGCAGCTGAAGCAGGAGGACGCGGGCGCGGAGCGGTATCCCTCGATAGAGGACCTGGCGCATCCGCCGCCGGCGGTGACTCGGAAGGTTTCTGGGTCGGTGATTCCGGATCCTTTGCCTGCGGGTGGGGTCCCAGCTTATGCGAACCCGTTCGAAAGCCATCTGGACGCGCATCAAGAGCAGTACTACCCGGAGACGCATGTGGCCTACGAGAACGCCCCTAACATGGTCAAGACGGAACCATCATACCCACACCAAGACGTGACCATATCGGACAGGGTCCAGCACAATCATACTCACATAACTACCCCCGATCCTTACGACGGCATAGCCTAACCGCACGAACACGAAACGCCCTGCCTTCAGCATGCTATATTATCCCACACTCCCTGTATATTGATCTATGTTATAGCACATTAATTTCATGTAATCTCCGTACTCGAAGGTTCGCATACGACACGATCATGACGGTGCAGATGAGGGCTTTGTGGCTGGTTCCTCCTTGGCTGGCATTGCGTACTCCAGGCCGTCGGATATGAAAAGACCCACGAGACTCGCGGCGCATACAGCGGCAGATATCCTTAGTCGTGTTTGTGGAGGCAGCACTAAGAGCAGAAGAACATGTTTGCATCAGAGCAGAGCGAGAGGAACGTCCGAGCTCACCCATCCAGGACTGCCAGAGATTCCGCTTAGAGACACTGCCAGCAGGGCCCGTAGCAGTCGCGGAAGGTCTCGAGGTTTGGGCTACGGGTCTCTGAGTCGTTGCATTTGTGTTCTTTGCTTTCTGTGCCATGGAGGACGAGGAGGTCCGCCGGCCATCGAGCGAAGGCACAGATCTGGCTGCCGCCGGCAGGTGGTCTCCCGGAGACCTTGCTTTCCTTTCGGACCTCCTGTAGTCGTGCAAGTTGTGCATACACAAACATGTTCACAGGTCTGGTACGCCCACTGCATTAGAGCCTACTCGTTTCCTGACAATTAGAGGAAGATCGAGCACCTCGGGACCGTCTCGTCCATCCAGCACGATGAAGGCGGATGTACGCTGACCATCGCACAGTCGGGCCCGATCCTGAGCGACTGCAACGTCGGGGACTCGATAGCGGTCAATGGAGCGTGTCTGACGGTGACGGCGTTTGACAGGGAGGCGGATGGTGGGTGGTTTACTGTGTGGTTGGCGAACGAGACGCTGGATAGGACGGATCTGGGTACGTGCTGCGTCCCGGCCTTCCAACTCAAGAGTACTAACCCGAGCGGGCGCATATTGTCTGATAGGGGAACGGAAAGTGGGGGACCAAGTCAACCTTGAGCGAGCCATGGGAGCTCATGTCAGGTTCGGAGGGCACTTTGTTCAGGTAAGTCATCGACCGACTTGTTATGATCAAAGGTGTATTTATGAATGCCACAGGCACACGTCGACACCACGGCGACGATAGTATCGCGTGAACCAGATGGCGATTCCTTGCGCATAACATTCCAACTACCTGAGCCAACACCTGCCCGGCCCTCGCTGTTACCCTACCTCATCCCGAAGGGATACGTTGCGATCGACGGGACGTCCCTCACTCTGACAGGCGTCGATGACACAAACCGAACGTTCAGTGTCATGCTCATCAAGCATACTCAGGAGAAGATCACGCTGCCGCAGAAGCCGGTCGGGGCGAAGGTGAACATCGAGGTGGACATGGTGGGCAAGTACGTGTACAAGAGCGTGGAGGCTGCGCTCGGAGGGCAGTCTGGGGACGGGGTAAAGGGATTGATTGAGAAAGCCGTGGAGGATGTGTTGGCAAAGAAAGGAATCAAGTAGACTTTTGGTCTAGGAATGCAATAGATAACAGTGTGTCTGTGATCTAAGCGCTCGGAGTCGGTCTCCGGCCTGCCGGCGCTTGGCCGGACTGACCCGGGGTCGGGACAGTCCTTTGGAGTGCATATGCAATAGCCTGCTCATGGTATCAGTCCCTAACGCGACGTTCAGCTATTCTATGTTCGACAGGAGTAATGGAGGGGCCCCAGAAACGCAAGGTACGAGGGCCCGCCGTTGTTCGTCGAGTCCTGGCTTATGTGCTTGTGGCCAGATAATGGGCAAGGTCGAGTATCCCCGACCCACGTCCCGCAATGCTAATGTATCGCGCCCCGCGTCCCCAAGCAAGTTTCTCGCACAACCGACGCCGGCACCGGGGCCGTCGAATATGCTGCGACCAAAGGCAAAGGTGAACAGCACCGCGTCCATCCGACCCCGCAAGATGTCCACGGCCGTGTCAACTACCAGCGTCGCGAGTGCCATGAGCAGAGTCAACTCTGGCCACCCGCCGAGGGCTGCTTCACCTTTCAAGCCGCCTGGCGGAACAAATGGCGCGACGTCGGCCCCTACGCGACCCCAGGCCCGCATCACTGTCCGACCGCCGTCCAAGTCCGTCGCAGCCTCGCCCGATGCCTCCCCTGACTCCCGCCGTTCTCCGGCAGTGCGCTCGGAGGTCGGTGCGCCAGTCATGCGGCGGCGGCACGGGAGTCTCTCTATCCATCACTCGCCGACGGCGTCCAGCTTGGGCGTTCCAAGTTCCGCGTCCCCGTCCTCACCGATATCGGACACTCAGCCACTAGTAGCCGACTCCCTCGACGCGCTCCTCGTAAGCAACGTCCGTATCAAGTCCAAGGTCTCGAATACCCTCAAGGCAAGTCTCCAAGCCAATACCCAGCCCTCCTCCCCGTCTCTCTCCGCTTCCCCGCCGTACGCTACCACCCGCCCGTTCCGCCCGCGCTCGCGGCCCCCGTCGATATCCAGCATATGCCTCGACTCCCCGACGCAAGCGCCGCCGAAGCCCCAAGGCGCCGTCAACATATACCCGATCACGACGTGCATACCCGCCGCGAACCCGCACCGCTACGCGCCGCCGCGTCCGCCGCCGCACCACGGCGCGGACGCGGAGGCGCATGTACCCCTCCCGCAGTCCCCGCCCACGTCGAACCTCTCGTTCTCGTCGAAGTCGTCGACGTCGCGCTCGTCAGTGTCGGGGCATACGCGCGCGTCGTCGAGTACGGAGCCGACGTCGACGTCGCGGTTGAATGGGCTGGGGATTACCGAGGGTGGCAAGGAGCCTTTTCCTACATCGCAGATATCTAGGGAGCCTTCGTATGAGGATGATAGCGGTGATGACGACGATTCAAGTGTGGACGACGAGGATTACGACTCGGATGATCCTGATAAGAAACGCAAAGCAGAAGCGAAGTCTATTCGTAAGGTACGAATTCTCTTCCCATCCCTCATCATCAAACGTTGACCAACTGATGCATCACCCAGATCGCCGACTTGGAGATCACCAACCGGTCCCTGATGGCCATTAACTCGACGCTGGAAGCAACGAAGCACCGGCAGGCGAAGGAGATCCGCGAGCTCCGCCGCAAACTGCGCGAGTCAATGCTCATCCTTCCTCCGCGCACGTTCCAACAAGTAAAGTCCACGCTAGCAAAGGACCTCGACAAGGCAGAGGAGAACGAAGACGACGCGGAAGAAGAAGAAGAGGAGGAGGAGGAGGAACAAGAAGACGAAGGGGACGACCCCGCGTACAAGCGCGTCGTGACCATCCTGGAGGGCCTGCTTGAAGTAGGCAGGCGCGCGCTCGAGACGAAGCCCGAGGATTTCGTAGAGCAGAGCAAGGGCGGCGCCAAGGTCCTCACCGCCGAGGAGGTACAGAACTGGAGGAACAGGGCGGTGTCGGGCGGGTCGGAGGTGACGAATGTCCCGAGCGAATATCTCGATACTGACGCCGCAGGGGAGACGAGCTTCGACAGCTCGGTCTCGCCGTCGCATCTCATAGTCTCGGCCACGGACGATGGGGCAACCTCGGAGGAAGAAGTTGAGGCACTCATGGCAGAGCCGGTGCCCATACCTCCGGCGTCCATACCACCCATCACCATCTCGCCATCTTAGACATTCATTCACGTTACTGTTTCCGCGCCACTCCTTTATTGTACTCGCACTTTTCACTTTTTTGCATCATACCATTTTACCCTCATTCTCAGCTGGCCGGAATCCATTCATGCAAGGTACCTTATGTTTATCAATCTGATTGTATCTAGTTTGTTATCCGCCTCGCTTCACGGTATACGAATACACAAAGATCCCACAAGATTATATGTAAGTGTATAGACATCGTAACATACTCCCTATACAACGATTATTCATTCTCTGCGATCTTCTGTGCTCTCTTCGCCAACTAGAAAACAGTAAGGATCTGACGTGGTGCATAACGGCATGGGATACTACTCACAGCTGCAGCAAGATCCAGTTGTCCTCCAGCAGGCGCCGGTGGCTTAACGCCCCCTCCGGCCTTGCTAGCCGCAGATGGCGTCGGTCTAGGAGCTGAAGGCACGGGAGGCTTTCCTGGAACCTTAGGGGCACCTGGCTTCGCCGCAACAGGCGGTGCAGGCTTAGGCTTGTTTCCCACAGGAGGTTTGGGAGCCATAGAGCTTGAAGGTCTCGAACTCGCTGGAGTGGTATCAGCGGAAGAACCGTTTGTACTAGCAGCAGGCTTCTTCCACGGTGTTGCAGACCCATTCGCAGGTGCCATCCCGGGGAAGACAGAGACAGGCTTGGCTCCCGCATCTGCCGCAACAGACTTCGCGGGTGCCTTTGGTACTGCAGAAGCCGTGGGTGTCGGTTTCGCCGCAGGGACACCCGGGGCAGATGGCGGGACGCGTCGATGGGGAGCGGCGGGAGGTGTTGGGGCTGCTTTGGGTTTTGGAGGAACCAGCTCCAAATAGCTGCTAGGTGCCCAGCCTTCCTGACCGTTCTTCTTCACCAGCCACCATCCGTTATCTTCCTTCTCTACTACTTCCACGACATCCCCCTTGACGAGAGAAACTTCTCCCTCTTGACCGTCGAATGCATACGTAGCACGATACAAGTCCTCTTGAGGCTCCTCCGCTGTCGCGGGGGGCGGGGGAGGCGGTGGTGGGGGAGGCGCTCGAGTAGAAGCAGAGGATGTCGGCTTGGATACAGGGGCAAAAGGGGCTTTGACGGGCGCGGCGGCAGGAGCACTGGACCCACCAGGTAAGGGACGAGCAGCAGGCTTCGGCCGTGACTGTGCTGGTTTCTGCGGAATGTTCATCGATCTATCCAAGCGGCATAGAGGAGTACTTACGTCCGATGGTCCACCGCGTCTGAGGAGTTTACCCTGCGTAATGGGACGGACAACACCGGGCTTCCTCTTGGCAGGAGGGCGGGATTTGCTGTCTGGAGGCTCACCAGAGGGAACGTGCACGGTATGGCTCTTATAGACATCGTCTCTTGGAACTGTTTCGTCTTTGATAACCTTAATCTGCGCTTTCTTGTCTTTCTTCTTGGTATATTCGATCCTAAACAATATCATGAGCCAGGACAGTACCTGATCATCGGTTGACACATACGTAGGACCTATGAGCACGTTGATGCTGGCTTGTGTGAGACGTAAGAGATGAGTAGCCAACTCAGTCTTGAACAAACAGCTGAATACAGGGTCGCCTTCTTCGGAAGCGCTAGTGTTCAGAGCCTTCGCAGTGGTTAGCACAGCAACATAGCCACTGTTTACACGGACTTACCACCCAGTCATCTCTTAGATTCGACATCGATATACCCTTGATAGTGACCAGGGGTATCTTCCGCTCCATACCCATCTGTGTTTGCCCGTTCTTCTCACTCAACGCGACAATGTAGACGGCCTTCTCGGTCTAAAACTGCATCTTAGTATCTATTGCCTGGGTCCAGACTGTAAGTCGTACCACTATCAGGAAACGAGGACTGGGTTTACTTGATCGACCAAACTTCGAGACGAGCAGCTGGATTCTAGAACTGAATACTGCCTGTTCCGCTGTAGAGAAGAAGTTACAATACGCAGGTGAGAAGCGATAGGAATACGTACATCCGAGGCCACATGCCTCCTTGAGCTCTTCGCCCAGAGCGCTCCTGCCGTTTACATCGAGATAATCACCCATGAAGCGGCGGTAACTCAGTAGACTGAAGCGTCTCCGCTCCTTACGCCCTGCTAGAATCTGATGCCCGTACTCTCGTATTTCAGCATAGGCCAAGCCCTCCTTATTGTTCTTCCAAAAGCGTTGTATACGAGTAGCGCATTCGTGCTTGTATCGCATATAATTGCGGAAAGCACGCTGTATGCGGCCTGCCATATTATGCCAATATCGGTCGCGCATAGTCTCTAGCGCAAATAGCTATACAGGGTTGCAGTTAGGAGGGCCTTAAATAGGGAACCGGTAACTCACGGTTTCGGGATTCTTGATGAAAGCCTTAGTGACACCCATCTGCCACTCGTCTCTGGCAATACCAGTATCCTTGAGAATCTGCTCGCAACCCGACCGCGCGTCACCCTGCCATGTATATTCTCCGGCGTACGATGTGTTCGGCGACAGCAGGTAGAACCTTTCGACCATCTTTTCGAACGTGTTCCTGTAGGCGAACCCAGCTCGACGAACACGGATGTTTTCTTGCAAACCGAGATACTTGATCTGATGCAGGATAGCTTTAGAGTCATACTCGGTCGGACTGCGATTCTGATTCGGCTTAATAGTTCGAATATAGGAGGGCTGTGCGCGCATGAGATTCTCTACCAAGGCCCCTGCTGAAGCCTTTCTGCGGTATGAGTGGTAAGGTCACAATGAGCACGATCACTTTCCTCACCTTGATTCGGTCGCTTGCAGTAGGCGGCCGCTTCTTGCTGTTGGGGTCTGGGCGATCTGGGAACAGAGATTGCAGGAATTGGTTACCGCAACCTGTGACGAGGTCTAGAAGATCCTTGACAAGAGCGTCCTTGTTCTTCTCCGTCATACCAGATACGTTATACAAGACATCCCCGGCATAGTGTTTGACCAGGAATTGCGCTCCCCTTGACTCAAAATGGGGGTTTGATGACAGTCCGGCGGAACGCTGGATGAAACTGTTGTCCGCAGCGCTCGGGTCAGCATGAGCAGTGGCACATGCATCATTAAGGGCAGCAAAGATGCCGGGCGGCCGACGTTCCTCAATCAAGTCGCACACAATCTTGTTGTTGAAGTACTTGATGGGTGTCCATTTGATCTGCTCCCTGACGTACTCTTCCTGCTCTGCCTTGAGAGTGAGCTCGATGAAAATTTGTTGCAGCTTCTCGTTGACGTAGTTGATGCACAATTGCTCAAAAGAATTATCCTGTTGATGCAGTTTAGATTAGTCGATGTCCGTACTGAGCAAGGTCCATCCGAACCTCGAAGATCTCGAAACCGTAGATATCCTGCGCAACATGAGTTGAGAACCTCATTCAATCATTCAGTCACACCTGAACGTACCAAAATTCCGATGATCTGAGCGGTTCCGCCTCGTGGTTTCATGGAGACATTGACTCGCGAAACGATCCACTCGAACAAGTTGTTATAGATAGCCTTTGAGAGAGCATCCCTTCCAGCTGCAGCTTGCGCAGGGTTCAAAGGTACATCATATACGGACCCTCGTCGACCTCCACGTTGCGTCTCCATGACTTTTGACGTCATGACCTTCTGCACCAGAGCTGGTTCTGCATCCATGAGGTAAGCAATGAAGTCTGTCACAGAAGTGTCTGCGATGGCTGCATTGCCGTCATCCATTTCCGTATATTGGACGTTGCCTAGCCAGAGGATGATGGCCAGCATGCGGAATATTTCGCTTTGCTCGTAGTCATTAAGACCAATCACTTGCATCGCTTTCTAGTGATACCGTATGAGTTCAGACGAGAAGCACACGGTGCGAGAAACATACAATGGTTTCGCTAAAGTCATGCGCATCATCGATGCCGTCGACATCAAGGCAATTACTGGCACTGGTGTAAGCATATGCCTCGGGGCCTTGCAGACCGAACGATTCTAGTATCAATATATCAGTCATACCTCGCCTCCAGCCCGAGCGTGAGTGGGTAAATGATACCTCGCTGCTCGTCTGTTGCTGCCTTCGTAAACTGGTAGAATATGTGGAAGTTCCGTTCATTCTCTATTTGACCAACAACTCGTCCCTTCTCGAGGAGATAGTTGGTAATTTGTGCTCCAACGGGTTCACCGTGGCTGTTGAACATGATCTCCAGATATTTGCCCTGTGTGCGCGTCAGTCGCCTGCCGATACGAGCGACGTGCGAACACGTACATGACGACTGGAGTTATTGTTCCGGAGAGTCTTCGCACAACCGAAACTTTCGAGTAAAGGGTTCGTAGCCAGCACCATCTCCTTGATCTCCTGGATATTGCCGTCCTGACCTCCAGAAACGGCCGCCACATACTGCATGATTCGCTTCGCAGCTTCCGTCTTGCCTGCACCTGATTCACCAGAGATGATAACGCACTGGTTCTCGTGGTAGGCATTCATGTTATAGTAGGCAGATTCCGCTATGGCGAACACATGCGGGGGTACCTCCAGCCTATTCTTCCCCTTGTATCGCTGGAGCACATCGTCCGTATAGATCCCCAGGTCTGTCGCACACACTTAGAAGAGAGAATGGGGAGATAAGTTAGCATACGTACCTCTAAAGGGGTTCACTGATATTAACACCGGTCCGATATAGGTGTAGATCTCGCCGTTCGTCCATCTCTTCTGAAGGTTCTCGTTAATGCTCTCATTGCTGATCGTTGTCAGGAGTGTCATATCAGACACCCCGACCTGCTTCTTCTTAAATCCCTCCTTCCAATCGGCCTGCCATAGACCTAGTAGTACCGTGTCCTCAGTGTAAATCACCCATAGCAACGCACCTTTGCTACCTTCGCCGCACCTCCCCCTCCCTTCTTCGTGGAAGGCGTCACCTTCTTGCCCGCCTTCTTGGATGGAGCCTGCCACAAATTGGTAGGAAACATGTGCGATACAGCTCACGTAGTAAACTGACCATATTAATATGAGGATCAAGCCTTGCTGCGTAGGTTTAAACTCTGAAACGGTGCCGTAACTGCGAGGCCGAGCTTGTGCAAGCCGACAGTCAACAAGATGGAGACAACGCGTTAGATCTGAAATGTCATGTAATGCACGGTGAGATGGCGGTGCGATGCTTGCGGACCCTGCTCGATGACGCGCCGAATACCGTGACAGACTGTCACGCGGCCGTGATTGGCTGAGCTTTGGCTAGATGGAACTGTACCGCATTTGCCACACACAGACCGTTATGAGACTGAACGTAAATCGGACTTGCACGACACCGTAACGAGACGGAAACTTCAACAATCACGCTCATTTGAACAGGCGAGAATACACTCCAATTCTTCCGTTAGCGATCTTCAAACTATAGCAACTGGTCATATCAGACGGGCCCCCAGTCCTGACACTACAGGAGCTCCCCTTCACCTGGGAACTTCAATGCCACAATCCAACAGCAACTTCAGCGCCTCCGCCGCGGGGACTAAGATGGCCGCATCATTCGGTTGTCGGTACCGCTGCACAACTGAAACAAGTGCCTTGGGTAATCGCGCTTCTACAATATCCGAAGAAAGCTTTTTCACGTTCTCCGCGCCCACTGACGTCAGGAAATTTCGAACGCACACAAGCCCTCGATGTATCAGACCCGGGTGCACTTGTTCTGGCGCTTGGGATTCATCCGGATTTGCGGCCGGATTGATTAGCTGGGCAAATATCTGCAAGACTCGGCGCCGTTCCAGTTGTATGGCTAGAAGATTTCCGCACGTCGCAGGCGACGCCGTAAGCTGCGCGAGTCCCCCAGATGAAGCTAGTCTTGTGGGTAGGTCATCCACATCGGATAGAGCCACGAGAACCTGCAGCTTCGACGTCGAACGAGAGTACTTCTCGAATAGCTGGTCTGATCCAGCAAGGAGATTACAAATCAGCTCTATAGCCGCCCTCCGCACTAGTTGGTGCTCCTCGAGTAGGAGAAGTTCGACTTTGTTCATGAGACCTTCACTCGCCGCGATACGTGAAGCAACCTCCGCGCTGGCCGAGGACAAGTTAGTGAGCGCCATCATCCCCTCGAATCGCTGCAGAAGATTGGCTGATGAATGTATCACCAATAGCGTGAACGGACGGATGGCATCGTACAAGACTGCCTCTCCCGGTCCAAAGACCTGGAAGGGGGCCGCGGTGATCCCAAGCTTTGCGAGAGCTTGGATAGTTTGTAAGTCCGAGCTTTCCAGAGCAGCGTATTGCGCCTTCGTAGATTTGTCCTTATAAACTTCCGCCATGCGAGCTCGTATAATCGTCGTCAAGGCCTTAGCCCCACCCTCCTGTAGGACTTTCCCCCTGTTCTCTTTATTCTCTACCAAGGACAATAGCGTCCGCCCGACAGCTGCTCTTACTCCCTGACTGTCCGTCACCTTCACGATGGCGGAGAGAGCTCCCACTAGCCCAACCTGAACTAGGCGCTTGCACCGCTCTTTCACATGATCATCATCGTCAAGAGGGTTATCCTGAGTTTGCGCTGCTTTACCAGAATTGGCCAACCTCTTTAGCTTCAGCATCTGCGTCTCCTCTTCCGTTAGTCGCGGCCTGTAGAGACAGACGTTCAGAGCTATCATCACAATCCCGTAAAGAACAGACGACGGCACTGAAACTCCAGTATCCTCAGTCCTACGTTTCGGAACGTGAGAGAAGAGCTGTTTCCAGAAGGAGGGGTCATTGGATAGCATTTCCTTAACACTGGGTTCGGCACTCATGTACACGAGCCCTTCAACGGCATCGGACAACGTAGACTGGTCATCGCCGGAGACGGTCATGCCCTTCATGACATTCACCAGGTCCATCTCCTCCTTTCCGTCGATATGAGACTCTGATATCTGGGAAGATTCGGTATCCGACAGAGCTCCCCTAGATAACTTGACCAGCGCTACCGCAGCCGCTGCGCGTAGGGCCGGAAATCTTGTCTGTGATGCCCTGCTGCGTAGCCACTGAATAGCCTCGTCTGAGAGAGCTTCACGACATGTTTTCTGTCCGCAGGCTTGGGAGAGTGTATGCGCGAGTTCCAAAGCAACCGTGTCGGAGGGGCATAAGTCAATAGCATCCATAAGCCCGGTGATGACATTCTCTTGTCGGAATATGACAGACGCAGATTCCGCATCCACTTGGAAAAGAGCGGTGAGAAGGGTTAGACTAGCTAGAAGGTCATCCTGTTTGGTTTCCGCAAGCCCGTCAACGATCATCGGCGAGAACACGTTTGCAAGTTGCTCTGCAAGAGGACCGTCTGCATCGCTCGATAGTTTCGTAGTAGCTCGGAACGTTTGACAAAAGGCAGACAGGGCCACGAACCCTTTGGCGCGCGTACGAGGGGGCTGGGATGGCAAGAAAGTGACGCGAAGGCATGAGCATTCGTCCGACGAGAGTGTCACTTCGGAGGGACTGCTTCCGCGTGAACATCTCCTGATCAAAGCATCGAGCACTCGGTCAATCTCCGTAGGGGACAGTGTCTGAGCCATGTCGAGCAGAGCCGGCCTTGGGAGCAGAGACCATGGATGTCATGAACTTAAGGGGATGCATGTCACATGTGTGGGCGTGTTTGCTGTGCGCGAGCTAATCTTGGATCTTCGACTTGGACATGGAAAATCTGGCATCTCAGACCGCAATGGAAATGCAGGAAGGCACGAGTACGCTGCCGCTGAATACCAGCAGAGGGCTTATACAGGATGGCGATACTGTCCTCCTCCGGCTCCCCAATGGGGACGTCCGAAGCATAAAATTGGAGAAGGACTCGTGAGCAGAATACTCATCCATCCGGACCATAGTGCTCATGTTTCGCGTAGAACGGTCAATCTCGGTCGAGTGGGATCCTTCAATGCATCGGATTTATTTAACCACACCTATGGATTGACCTACGATATATCGGGCAAAAAGTTGGAAGTCATCCCACCTCGCTCAATCCAGGAAGTAGGTAGGCATAGTCCTTCGTACCAGTGCGAGTACTAAACAAGTTCTCTTGTCCGCAGAGGACACCGAAGCCACCAATGAACTCATCAATGATGGGGAGTTCGTCCAACCTCTCACCTCGGAAGAGATCGAGACATTGAAAAAGTCGGGCGTGCCTGCTTCGGTGAGGGATACATACATTAACTTGGAGTGATACTGACTGATACATGCCGGGATCAGGAAATCATCAAAAGGCAGATTGAGCAGCACGCAAACTACTCCCTCAAGACTGAATACTCTAAGGAGAAATACAAGAAAAGGAAAGAGGCAAAGTTGGTGATGTCCGGTCCTAGAGCAGTATCCCCTCCTGAGCCCATCCAGGTACTCGAAAACCTTCACCACAATTGAGCCGACCTTGTTCAATGTCTGCGAGTACTGGTTCAAGAAGGACCAGAGTCGATTGCGAGACATCCGATGTGATACACTATCACAAATGCTTCATTTGGCGAGCGTCAGGCCCGGAGGGCGGTATATCGTGGTGGACGATGCGTCCGGAATTCTTGTGGCTGGCGTTCTGGACCGATTGTCCGGTATGGCTCTTCTCCTCTTTTGTTATCTCGTCTTGTGTATCTTAACGACGGTTTAGGTGACGGACGCGTGATTTCCATCTGCGATGTCGAATCATCACCCGCATACCCGGTCTTAACCCAGCTCAATCTGAAGAAGGAAGCTTTGTCTACGGTACTCTCTTCTCTAAATTGGGCCACCGCGGACGAGGAATATATTCCGAGTAAGTTTGACCTTTCCAGCGCCTGCAGCTTCAGTCAGACTTATGGTTTGCACAGTGCTAGCCGCGAGTGGGACATCTCGAGAAGTTAAATCTGAGCGACAAAAGGTGCGCGCCTCCAAGCGCAAAGCAGCCGGTGATTCCCTTGTGAGCGTCAGGGAGGAACTGTTCGACGGAGAGTTCGATGGGTACGTGCGACGGCATAAATTATCGACTCGCTTCTAATGTGTGAGTATAGCCTCCTCGTTGCTAGCGAATATGACCCGCTATCGATAGTCGAAAAGTTGTCGCCATATCTTGCTGGTTCTGCTTCGATAGTTGTCCAAAGTCCCAATATTCAGGTACGGATGGCGTCCCACAAACATTATGCATCAATATCTGAGGAGGTGTTAGGTCCTTGCTGATTTACAGAGCCAAATGCGTCAGATACCCCACTACTTAGCGCCAGCTGTTACTGAGGTTTGGCTGCGTCGCTATCAGGTGCGCCAGTATATGCTATCTTGTGGCCACTCGTTTAACTCCTGGCACCAAGGTTCTTCCTGGACGGACTCATCCCTTCATGAATATGTCCGGTTCCGGGGGCTTTCTTCTGCACGCGATAAAGATGTAGGGAGTCACTTGCTGGTCATTGTTTTTGCAAGCTCATTTGAGTTCACACTCAGATACGATGATCCATTGGCTGTGTCTGCGGCCGGGCGCCAAAGGCAGAAGAAAGCAAGGCTGGGTTCGATCGAGGGCAGTAAGGAAGCAGCCGCCGATACCAATCAAGACATGCTGCAAGCCTTGAGTTCAGCAAGTCATACTCCGAATACAGACGCACTTTAGCCTCTGCAGATGTAACTTATACATATATCATCCTCGATTGCGCCGAATGATCGCGGGTTGTCAAGGATATCACGGGGACTGACGCACCGTTAGAACCAGGATAGGGGTTGCAAGTGCGAATAAGATGATTAAGTCTACACTAATGTATAGCCTGCAGAGTACCTCGTACTCCAAGCCATGAGTCGTGAGTTGTCGTGAGTATGGTCATGATTAAGTGGATGCGGGAAATAATGCCGCAAAGATCTGGCATGACTGTTAAACATGGACGGTACGCTTCACGCAAGGGTGCTCACCTCGTCAACTACGCTGTAGATGATATGCTGATTCAACCGCCGGTTTTGCAAGACGGCGAATATCCTGCGGGCTCCTCGTCGCGCATTCGATCTTCCGATCATGTTGGCAGCCAGGTCTATAGGCCAAACCTGTCCAGTTTACAGCTTGAAGACGTGCGTTTGAACTTACCTGGTATCAATGCTGAGAGTTTGCGGTTCGCTTCATCCCTGGTTTTCGCTTTCTCTTCTGCAGTACGAGGCGTACTAGGGGGCTTCAATTGCCCCCCTGGCCATAGCCCGTCCCGGAACGCAGTTACAAAGCTGAGAAGGCGAGCTTCGTCGAAGAATGTCCGGGCAATTTCGTATATTTTCCTACGGACAAATCGGCGGTAAGTATTCCGATTATGCAGAAGGTCAGTAACCAACCGTTCAATCGTACCACCGAGGACTTGTTGTAGGATGATTACGATTGCTTGTCGTCTCAACCAATTATTCTTTTTGTTCAGCTCAAACACCGCAAGCACAAGATCGCATATCGGCGCTGAGAACGATGACGCGCTGGTTTCCCCGTCCAGCGGCTTCAAATCGCCAGACATCTTCATCAGGGTTTCTTCGTTCGTACTCTTCCCGGCCGCTCTGAGGATCTGAGAGACTAAGTCTTCATCACTGGCTCCAGAGCCTGAAACTCCAGCATATTCCGCGGCCTGACGAGTTAGCCGCTGTATCATGACATCTAACATCGATGGTCCAAAGAACATGTCATCGATGCTCTCAGCTACTGAGTTGTAGACAGTCCTGACAATGTCTCGAGCAGGGAAGCCGGGACCCTTGACCGAAGTCGTGGATGGCTCCACCGCTATAAATGGCGAATCTCGGGATAAAAATGCGCGCAGCTCGTCGCTCTCGCATACGGCTGGTATGGAAATCAAGCTCTGTCGGAAGCTCAGCCAGAAGGCTTTATGGTCAATCGGCCACTTACTTGCAGATACTTTTCCAAGGCTGCCCGGCGTGTATCCACAAAGCTTCCAGACAGAGACGTTACCAGTCGCTTGCCTGGAAACTCGAGACTCTTGACTTGCACATAGCGGTCCTTAAGTTTGTTGTGCATATTGAGAAACTCGTTGTACCTTCTTGCGACGACCCACCCAGAACCAAAAGTGCCATCGGCGGCAAGTTGCTGTACTTCAATCACGTACCGAACGACGCTCTTGCCACTTTCTTCTCCTACTGTAGAGTTGACAATGGAGACCTTTGTCCTGTCGGCTATTAGACGATTTGCGGAATCTTGCTGCTCATATTGTTCCTTCTGGAACTTAAGTTCCCGCAGCTCCCTTCGAAGAGACGACCTGGACGTTCGAAGAAGACGGAGCTCTTGCGTATCACCAGTCAATTCGGCCTTGTTGATCAATGTATCCAGCATGGCATCTTGCGATTGAAGATTAGATATCTTATCTCCGAGTCTTGCAATTTCGTACGACAGCTGTAGATCGCCGGGTCTGGCTAGCTGGAATGAACCGTGGCTCTCCTCATCCTCATCGTCATGCCTATCGTCTCCCTCTACTTCGCTTTCGAACAGTACTCTCTTCTTCTGTCGTTCCTGACCTGCATTAGCGGCTTTTTGACCGAGTGAGTCGTCAGAAGACCCAAGAGGTCGAGGCCTCTCAGACTGCTGATTATCCAAAGCAATGATATCCGTCAGAGCCGCCTGGATGGCTTCGACGCGGTCTAAGTGTGCTTGATCGTGACGGCTGGGCGTGCCATCCTCGGGATCGTCGAATAGCGGCGCCCGAGAAGCCTCCACCTCCGTATCCGAAGCGGGTGACATAAGGAGCTCGAGAGTAGAAACGGGGGCTCGGGTAGGGTGCGCAGTAGACCCTATAGAAGACTCGCCAGGAGAGGACTGTCCTGAGCCACTTGAATGCACGGATGCGGGTTTTGACTTCCCTGGAATGCTGAGTAAAGGAGCAGACTCAGAGCGAGGGACGTAGAAGTGAGGTTTGGGGTGACTCTTCGTTTCAGGAGCTCTGGAAGGGAGAGGAGTCGTGCCAGACCTTGCCCGACCTTCAGGCGTTGGCTCGGGATGGTTCTTCTTAGTCAATTCCGCGTCACCAATCACGCGGAACCAGAGGTCAGAACGTTGAAAGTCTTCAAAATCCTGCTCCATGTCGCGTTCGACTTGTCTTTGGGCAAGCATCACGCTCCTACGGGCTTTCCTTACAGAATCTGGTGATGGATTGTCCTCGTCTGCACTTGAGAAAGACCGTATTGCGTCAACGTGCTTCTCTGATATCGCCCCCAGTGCAGGCGCTAAGGAGGGACTTGAAAAGTATAATTCGTGGACCATAGAAACGTCTTCCTTAGCGGTGGTGGAGCTAGACAAATCTTGAATAGGATCATGTTCCTCGTCGGACGAACCAGAATCCACAGATTCCAAAGGATTCTTGAAGCTTTCTACAGTGAGCCAAAATTGGACCAAAAGCGATCGGTTTCGACGATCCATGAACTCCATAAAGTATGATAGGAGACTTGGATTCGTCAGGACGTCACGAAGCCCAAGGCGAGGGGTGTTGGGGCTAACGTCCTGATACACTGTCTGCCTCTAAGAAAGGGACCTGTCAACGTCTACGACTATTGCACACTTAGTCGACATACAGAATCATCTTCGCCGCCTAGCACAACAATCCTTTGCTCGACCTTGCGTTTGGCAGTATATAATCTGTCAAGGTACGCGACGACGTCCTCCGTCCTTTCCCCGTTAATCCAGTCTTCTTTCTCGTGGTTAGCTGAGTCGTATGTATGAGTATATTCCAAGTAGTCACTGTTGCTGGGCCGGTCCCACGTACCCAACAACGTCCGGGTACGCCGAACTTCTCGGAGAATATCGCTTTTGAGTCTCCTGGCATCGAGTAAGGACGAGCAGCGATTGATACTCTTGAGGAAGGACTCGAAACCACGGGGATCCGTGCGTATTGTGATGGTTTCGGACGGGGTGGATCCATTAGTGGTAAGTGTTGGTTGGGCACGAGGTGCTTGAGCCTCCAGCACGTTCCGTACTTTCGATACCAGTTTTCTGTGTTAGGATCAGCCATACTACATAGAAGTCTCATTGCAGCACACATACTGCTGTCTGATTGCCGCCCCCGCCTACAATAATTGTATTATTCTGACCAGATCGACACGTACGTCACTCACCACTTCATCGATCATCCTGTTCCAGAAATCCGGGTCCGACAGCATATCCATTATAGGATACAAAACGGCGCAGGCTACAACCTCCCTTACCACAAGCTTCACCGCCTTACTGCGGCTCTCCGGTTCTGGCAAGATATGAGGCAGCGCCTTCTCTACGAGACTCCTCAAGTGCATCTCCTCGGTTTGCCGGGTGAACGTCGATGAAAGATTGTCTACAGCGGGATGGAGCCTCCCTCCCTTTCTGCCCGCGTAGCGGCCGGCTAAGAGAAGGTCTAACTCTTCTGACTGGGTCAGTTTGCGTTCTAGTGCCTGGCCACGCAACGCCACTTCTGATTGACGGAATTGTTCGACGTGTGCTGTTACCATCGGGAGAATACGTTTCACAACAAGGGCAGGCAAGTCAATTGGCGCGGCTCTTCCTATTAGACGATCCATGGACGCATGGAGGGTCGACGATACGGCAGTAGGGAACGATGGCGACGAAGATATTTCTTTGTACCATGTAAGCACAAAGTCTCGTACAATGAGAATAAGAATTTCATTTAAAGATGAGGAGACAACAGGAAATTGTGGAAGGAGGTGAGACAGAGATTGCGGAGACTTGTGGGACCATTGGGAACGCGTCAATACTGCCTGCCAAGCAGCTGGCGTGGAGAAAGCTAGGGGTCTGGCAGAATAGAACAGGCGCTTGGGAAATCGAGGTCTTCTGGAGTCCAAGAGGTATGCGACGCCGACATTGAAGGCGAGGAAAGACGCCAGAACACACAGAAGGATCGAGGGTGAGAGGAGTACCAGCACGAGCGGCGAAGTGATGACGCGAGCGACCAGGGACGAGCCGATGACCGAGACAGCTACGCCTACGGCAGCTTGAATGATCCAGAGCTGCATAGCCGTAACAGCGCTGCAGTTCCCCTTGCAAAATCAAGGCGTGCCCATGGACTCAGAGAAGACAGTGGCTGCAGACTCGGACCAAGCTGTGGCAATTACAAGGTCGATCAATGTTTACGTAAGTAGATTGTACGCAAGGTTATGGTTTCCCCAACAGCGAGAGCATCCGAAAGCGCCGAAACATGTCCTGCCAGCGTCAGAGGCTTTCGCTGTTTCTCGGGGCATTATTCCTTCGTCCGAATTCCTCGAGAATACTGAGTCTCCTGCAATGGCGAACGCGTCATCGGCAGGGGCTTCTCCGAAGCTGAGACCTCTGTCCACGACTGAGGGATTCATATGCGGAGGTATCGCCGCATGCATAGCTGTGCGTTAACACGGCATGTGTGCTGTAAGCATTTAAGTAGACTTCTCCAGGTTACATTCTCGAATCCTGCAGAAGTCGCGAAGACTAGACTTCAACTGCAAGGGGAGCTTGCCAAAGAGGGTGCTCCGAAGGTCTATGGAAGTGCTCTCGACGCACTCGTGAAGACATGGAGGAATGAAGGAATTCGAGGTTCACAGAGGGGCCTGGGACCTGCAGTGAGTTATGTCACGAATACTGCGCCTGCATCCCCTTATTCTGTTCATTACAGTACGCGTATCAAGTGAGGTATCCAAAGATGCATTCTTCGCGCCCATGCTTATGCCTTCTACTAGATTCTCCTTAATGGTTCTCGGTTAGGTAAACGCTCTTCTCTGGACCAGGCCGTACTACGCTCAATCTTGACGAAGGATTCTATGAGCCGTTCCGACATTCCATAAACCGTCTCTTTGGTCGGGCACCCACTGAACAGATACCCGTCACGTCTGTGATGGCTGGTGCAGCGAGTGGTGCCGTCGGAGGTAACTATCTGCGCTCTGATCTATTCATACGTTGCTCGACGACTAGTTTCGCTTAGCATCTCTGGGAAATCCCTTGTTCTTGATCAAGGCTCGGATGCAGGTGGATATCTCTGCGGCCACATGTCTACGTAGTTATTGACCATAAATACGCAGGCTTTCTCACCCGCCCTTCCCGTCGGGACTCAGCACCATTACAAGAGCTCTTTCGATGCCTTGTCTACAATTTTCAAAGCCGAAGGGTTCGGGGGTCTAGTGAGAGGTATCGACGCAGCGATCTTGCGAACTTCTATGGGATCGTCCGTAAGTCCCCGCGAGTGGCAAATTCAAGAATCCAAGACCGGTTCGTCATAACTTCTTTGCGTAGGTACAATTGCCCACCTATAATTGGACCAAAAACCAAATCGTGAAGCGAGGGTGGCTACCTGCGGATAGCACGTGGACATTCTTGGCCAGTAGTTCTGTCTCCGGTGCTTGTGTAGTACGTGACTTTTTATCATGCTGTTATCTGGCCCATGTTAATCGGTCACAAGTGCTTAGTAATGCAACCCGCGGATACGGTCCGTACACAATCGCCGGAGGCGCCAATCATATTCTAACGGCTATCCTCGCAGGCTCTGACGAGAGTGTATAACCAGCCCACAAAAACCCTTCCAAACGGCAAGCGAGTCGGTGCATTGTATCGCAATCCCATTGATTGCCTATGGAAAACGTTTAAGACAGAGGGGGTACTTGGGTGGTATAAGGGCTCGACAGCGCATTTCTTGCGCATAGCACCTCACACGTAAGTATTCTTCCTGAATGCGTCGTGTAATGTGCGAAGGGCTCATGCTCATAATACTACCAGGATCATCACGTTGACTGCCAACGATCTTATCATGAATCTTTACAAAAGGATAAGAGACCGTGGTAGTGCCTGGTGAACGCTCCAGATCGTACAGGCGATTACCTTACTAAATGGTATCTAGACGTTGCATAGTACATTGGATTTAATGATTCCACCATATGTACGACTAATTTGCACCCATACCCCGAGTGTCTGCAGTGACCCAGTACTGCATAGATTGTCAGGACAGACATGGTGAGCAAAAAGGGAGGGACGAGCCAAAATATGAACCCGACCCGGATTGAACGGATGACCTTGTGGAAGCATCTTAAACTGGAATCACACGCTCTACCTCTGAGCTACGGGTTCATGTCGGCAAGAAATACATGCACGATTTGAGCTATATTGTGTTATTGGGGCCATCGTGGGACCCACATTACCCATTGGACGTTATGTCAGCGAATGGGAAGCAAGACTAAAGCCTAAGAAATCTGCCTTGGTGGTCTATCACACCCCCAATCTGCGCCTCTCGCCTCGTAACCGACGTAACGTCTTTCGGCCTCAGCTAATGGACGCTCTGAACCAGTTTAAGTTACCTTCAACTGTCCCGCAGGATCTCATTCTAATCCAAGACATCATTGGCGAGTTGCCGGCCCAGCCACGGACGAATGGACACGGAAAGGATGTGAAAGAGGAGGGAGATGGCTCTATTGCAAGTACCAATGATGATTCCGACAGCGAAGAGGAAGAAGTCGTGAACTTGGTTCTAGAAGACGACGACGTTGAGGACAAGGCATCTGATGCGTGAGTTGATTCTAGTCTTGACCAAACTCACAACGTAATGTTTATTAGATCTGGTCCTTCTCGGTCTATGTCGGAGTCTCGTAGTAGCCCAGATTCTGATTCTGACGAGTCTGACACGGACACGGAGCCTCCTGAAGATGAGAAAATATCCAACAAAAATCGAGAACGGGACGTCGGCGAAGAAGACGACGATTTCAGAGACTCCGGGGGGGTGAACGCTGTTGTTAAGACTGAACATGAGCTGACAGACTACAATGTTACTATTCCTGACATTTCGGAAGTTAACGCGGACGAAAAGCTCGACGCTGCTGGCCAAATAATCAATATTTCCGATAACATCGTTATAGTCCAGGGAGCAGCTGCAGATGGCGTAGCTAGAGCTCATGAGCGTGTGCTGGACAGTGATACTTTGCTTGTCTTCGAGGATAGAAGAGTCTTAGGATATGTCAGTCTCTTATACTCACATGCGTCGCCGCTAACTTATCACAATGCAGATACATGAGACCTTTGGGCCAACACATCAACCTCTCTACCAAGTTAGATTCTCTCAGGCCTATCCCATAGACCCCGACAAGGTCAAGATATCACGCGCGGTATTCCATGTTCCGCAGAGAAGCAAGTTCGTTTTCGTAAACGAAATCAAAAACCTCAAAGGCAGCGACGCTAGTAATGCTCATGACGAAGAACCAGGTGAAGAGGAGATGGAGTTCTCAGATGATGAGCAGGAAGCTGAGCATAAGCGACGCTTGAAACAGAAGTATGATGAGGATATCTCAGTCTCTCCACTGGCTAACTGATATATCCAGGCGGCTGGAAAGTCGTGGACAATCATTAGCACCCTCCTCAAGACATACGACACCTACCCCATCGCAAATGCGTGATCAAGATTTGACGGCAGACCTCTCATATGGCTCGAATCCATACGATGAGTACAGCCCCTATAACGTCGATTCTAGTGCTTCTCAGGCTCGTGCCGCTCCTCTGCCCTACGATGATCCATACTTGGATACGTACGAGATTAACTTCAACCAGGCGATATCTGCTACGATGCAGCCGGTGGAGGGCGCATCCGGCACGCCTTCGACCTCTGGTGATAGCCAACGCGGCTTTCACGGTCGGGGACGCGCAAGAGGACAGGCATCAAAATTTGGCAGAGACTCTGTTGGTCGAGGCCGAGGGCCACGTCGGGACAAACCCAATCGCGATCGTGGCCGAGGGCGTCACAGAGGCACCCAAGATGCCGCAAGGGAGTTGCAACATCATCAACATCATACTGCACATTCCGATCAAGAATACGATCTGCGTCGTCCGGCATCCCCTGCGTCGATGGCCATAGCTCGCGCCACTAGCCAATATGCCGAGGACTCCGGCTACGCTTCTCCAGCCAATTTCTCCTCTACTTCAGTGGCCGCATCTAATGATTATTGGTCTTACCAGCAGTCCTACCAAGCAACACCTTCATATCAGGGTAATCAGGCGGGATATGTATACCAACAGCCATATGTGCAGCCACACATAAATCCACGTTTTGCTTCTGCCTACGGCTACCAGTTCGGCGAGTTTCCTTCGAACCACTACGGTCAGTACGGATCGTACGGCATGGATGCATCTTCTGGGCGAGGTGAAGATAGGAATGGAGGTTGGAGAGACTACAGCGGTTCCTATAATCCCAGTAATACTTGACGGGCACCTTTGGACAATGCGGTTTCCACCACAACTTTGTATGAGAACGTGCAACTTCACTCTCTTCATTTAAGATTCTCTCACGTGCGTCTGGGCCTGCCGGGAAAGAGTCAGTAAACCCCAGTGGAATGTCTCCAAGTCGTATCCAGAGCCGACCTCACAAAGGATGCTTATGTCAGTATCGGCAGTTGTCTATACATGAAGAAATCGAGTTCTCTTGTGGGATGTTCCTCCTTACTCCCCGCCACCAGAACCTAGCAAGCGAGGCCAACGCGACGAAGTTCTTTCCGTACGGGTCGATGAAATCTGGGAATCAATCAAGCTTGCCCCTCCTTGCCCCTCCTTTGAGAGGGGTTATGCCAAACCCGCACTTTTCGACCAACCGGCAAGGACCGGCGTGCCATGTTTGGCTCCAGTGGCACACGGCTACACGGCGCGGACTTAAGAATTATCTCGCGTCCCTTGCAGCTAGACTCCGGTCCATGCATAGAACTATACTTTGCATCCCACTTACATATCAAAGTAAACAATCAGTACTAAATTCCATCTCAATTCACCGCAGCAGCTACATGCTGTGAACTGCACTCCACAGCAGCTACAGGCTGTGAACTTTGCACACCAAATCAAGGAGGAGCTAAATATCTCTTGTATACATCAAAGATTCGAAATAATGACTTTAAATTATATCCATTGGGACATGCATCCTGTGCTTTCCGGAAGACAGGGTCCCGTCTCCCGGACTGCGCAGGATGGCAATAAGTGTTCAGCTGGCCAGCCAAACCACCTCTCTCTGGCTGCATTTGTGCAAGCACCTATATGATAATTAATTCATCCCATCCCGCAAAGGAGGGGTAAGATGCTGGCGCCAGATGGAGCTTCCCGAGTTGAGAGGGGTTCTGCCAAACACGTTGCACTTTTTGACCAACCGGCAAGTTCCAGTGTGCCATGTGCTCCAGTGGCGCTGCTAAAGAGAATGCATAGACTCTATTTGAGCAGTACAATATTGCACTAAATGTTCAGTACTGCATCGCATTCAATCAGCCCTAATATTAACACCTACATGCTACAGTCAGCATCGAGGAGAAGCCAGATAAAAATTGGGAGTTAGGGGTATCCAGCCTCCGAGTGGTAAACATGCAAGAGATTCAGCTAAAATGATTAATCATGCAATATTGATTAACAGACACCCATCCTGCGCAGTTCAAGAGATGTCCCGTCTCCCAGAATGCGCAGGATGGTAATATTTAGCTGGCCTGCTAAACCACGGAAACCTCCACTTGTTATGTTTGGCTGGCCACTGGCAGCCTGCGCTGAGATCCGAGGCTCTTCAAGTACACCTAACATCTCTCACAATGCTAGTACTCTCTACAATGTTACAGGGGTCAGCAAGCACCTATACAGAACGTATATTATATACTAATTCGCCCCATCACACAAAGGAGGGGTAAGATGCTGCAGTGTTGTGCCAGTTCTGAACTAGTTGATGAAAGTTTGGAGAACTGTCAACTTGTCAACTAGTTCTGTTTACTTTCCGATAACTTTCCAGCAGAACTGTGGTGTGAGCCTTGCCTGCCAGCAGTCCTCCTCAGCTCCTGTCGAGATGTTGAGTTCCCCATCCATTCTGATTGCAGGGATGATGGGTTGCTCTCTATAGTCTTGAACTCATGCACTTAGCTAAGGTTTTTCACTGTATATGGTAGTGAGTGGGAATGTTGACCTCCATGGGCAGGTTGATGAAAAGTCAATGGTTCCTAAACTTTGTAGAACTAGTTGCTTAGTTGATGAAACAACTAAACTAACTGGCATCAACCGGCCCAACACTGAGATGCTGGTGCCAGACGGAGCTTCCCCAGTTGCAGTGCACCAGTTATCTCACATGTGTCTTGATTCCCGCATTATGTTTTTGACACCATTACCAAGCCTTTTTAGGCTTGTGACTGGGGTCACATTGGTGAGCCTAAAGTTGCCGAAGTTCAGGTCACGAACCTCTGAGGTCAACCTTTGGCCCGACCCTCCTGACCCAGACCTTTGTTGGCCTGGTCCTCAAGTTCAGTGGTGGGCCAGGTTGAAGGTCAAGCAACATCTGAGAGCTCTGACCCTGGACTGACCTGGGGTCGACCCAACCCCCTATAAAACATAAGCTGGTTATGGTTATACGGCAATCAGAGTGACAGAGTCTCAACTATACTAGATAGCATAACATTGAAATGTGGATAGATTTATTTCACCATTCTTCATGGGTGGCCCTCCTTGCCCAACATCTACCATGGTATAGTTATTTTTAGCAGCAATGTATAACTATCTGATCTTATGTTACATATACAGCCTTCAACTCACTGGCAACATCCTGAGATACCCCCCTTCGCAAGTGGCAGCAAGATCATACAAGCTCGCAGCTGCACACTGAGCTCAAGTATATTGCAAACTTTATGCTGGCAATGGACTTTGACCATGGCAAATATCCTGACTTCTCCTTGTACCTCCTTCCGCTGTGCTTCTGGTGGACAGAAGGTAGCTGGAAGGAGATTGTCAGGGCTGTGGCTCCAATTATAACAAAGTACCCAGTAAGTGCCATGCACACTTGGTACACCCACAGTGGTACTGATGCAACAAGCTTAGCAAATTGTGGCAGTCAGCCTTACCATAGACACCAGTGCATATGTAGCAGCCTCTTTGGATGAGGCTGACGATGAGATGCCAGCGCTGGAGTCACCAGCAGACTAATACATGCCTAGCCAAGGCTTGTGAGTATTCAAGTCAGTAGCAGCTAGTTTAGCAGTACAATAGCACATATCTTGTAATGCAAAGCTGGCATATACAGCTGCTACCAAATCAGCAACAGGTTCAGAGGTTGGAACATCAAAAATTGAGTCTTGAATGATATACAGACTTGAGCATGGCTATACCAATGCCTCCCAGGAACTGGCAACCGTCATTCAGCATGGCCCTGGACCACCCTGATGAATCACCCGCTCTCAACTCTGACGGCAGCTTCAAGGACATCAGCAAGATATCATGGGTTAACTCACTGACAGACGAGCTTCCGCCATTTGACTTTTCAGTTCCTTTTCTGCCTCGTGCAACCTTGACTGGCACTCTGATGATTCCCAATCCCTCAGGCTTTGTCGGTGGCCATGTACAGGCAGCAGCCCAGCTGCACCATCTGGTGAGAGACTGGATCCAGCAGCAAAGTGGTCCTTCAACTTCGTCATGGACGCTCATTGCTCTCTGCGCATTGAAAGACCTATCAAATCACAGGCTGCACTGGAAATGGCTGGTACCTTGGCTGTTGGAAGTATGACAAAGCCAAAAGCATCATCAGCACCAAAGGGATAGGTGAAGACAACAGGAAAAGCACCTGCAGTCAGCTGCATCAAGCTGCAGCCAAATGAAGGGGACCCACATGCCAAAACATCTGAGGTTCCCAGCCTTGGTATCTCCATTACACACAGCAATAGTCACCTTTCACAAACAACATCTACCTTTACACCATCCAGGGCATCTTCTGATGTGCCTCAGGCTGATGCTCCCAGCAAGAGCATCAGTCATAGGAGCAGAAAGTGGAGGAATGCTGACCCCGGCACCAATGTCTTCACAATATTTGAGGTGTTAGAAGAGAATGATGGATTTGACGAGAAGGGTGAACCTAAGACTAAGACTTTGTGTTGCTTCAGGGTCTGCACGTAAGCTCCATCTTACTTGACCTACCTGGTATCTGCTAATAGCATTTCTATGTCTAGAAGCTCCAAGGAGACAAAGCAGGTACTTGATGGGAACCTGACAATGTGTCAGAATCACATCAGACAGAAAGGACTGTGTCATTACAAGCTGTACCATGTAGTGATGCCGCGGTCCGGCTCAGTCCGGTTTTTCATAATATTTTTCGAACCTAGGACCGAACCATCGGTTCGGTCCAGTGACTTTTGAAAACCTTGGACTGGATGCGATGGAACCGTCTGAGCAGGTTAGGTCCGGTCCAGGACCGGTTCGAACCCATTGTCTGGCCAACTATTCTTATTAGATTCTCATCGATCATAATATACAATGCTACCTAGAGTTAATCATCATTGGAAAGCTCGTCACCATCACCAGAAGACTCTGATATGGTTTCCATCACCTCATCAAGCATTTTCAGTACTTCTTCAGAAGCAGAAAGGTAACCATTCCGATAGGCACTCTTGAGAATCTGCAGTGCTTCGTATATAACCGGCGTTAGGCGGTTGCGAAGTTTGGTACCCATCATATTACCACTGGAGAATGCTCTCTCAGAAGCAACCGCCGAGCCCTGGATTGCCAGGTAGTCACGCACCATGCGAGAGAGGACGGGGTACTGTGCAGTATGATGCTGTCCAAAGATATTAGAGAGATGTAGACAACACCTGTAGGATATACTCACCCCCCACCACCGTACCACATCTTCCACTTGCTCGAGTGGACTGGAGAGGTACTGCTCCAGCTCCTCGCGAGCACCTCGCTTCGTATTGTCGAGGGCTTGACAAGTTGACGGTTGCAAGCATCCATGAGTGGCCGTATGGTATAGACTTCAATGATGTAGCTGCAAAGTATCGTCTTGAGTTAGTAAAAGAAATGATAGCGGACCTGAACACGCACACTCTGCGCGCTGCCCTTCGGACGCTGGCGCTGACGGAGCAAAGTCCACGTCCTTACAGTAATTATCAAACTAGGAAATTGTTATTAGTCAGCTTCGATATGGCACAAGACAACGGTTACACACCTCGTCCTCGAGCCGCTGTCGTGCACGCTGTGCAGCGGCAGGATCCCACTGGTCTTCGATATACACCATCTTCACTCGAGGGTCCAATACTACACCACAAGATAATCAGAGCTATGCCACAAGACAGGAATTGACCATACCAAATGCAATAATGTAGGCATCACTACTGGAGTCTGTCTTACGATACCATTTCTCGAGGTTGTCCAGTCCATCCTTGATGGCATTCTTAAGGAGCAAGTATTTCGGGTCCCTTGCATAACACTTCCAGTTATTGATGAGTGACTCAAGAATGGGTATAGCATTCCAGAGCGTCGGATATCTTTCCAATGAGAAGCTTTGATGGGCTTCTGCGGGTTCCTGCTTCAGATTAACAAGAGGCTGTAAACAGAATGGAAGAACCTTACCCGAAGAACGTCCCTCATAAGGTAGAGATACTCCCATTCACGTTCTGTCAAGCCAAACTTGGCATATGATTTGCATTTGAGTTTCGGCACGACATCAGTAACGTCCGCAAGTCTTGTGAAACAATCTACAGCCTGCCATACAATGAGCGGATGCTATCATGTCTCATGATACATCTGAAACAGTGTACCTTTCTGAGAAGCAACACCCTCTCGAGGAAGTTGTAGAGTGACGCCCAGCGCATCCGAACCCATTCCATAAGTTGAAGAACGGGCACGTCAACATCTTTGCATGTTTGGCGGAAGTAAGCTTTCGCCTGGGGGGATTTGCAGATCTATATCATGCATGCATCATTAAAACATGAGTTTAGGACTCAAACTTGAAACACACCTGAGCAACGAGAGCCAGCGCCTTCCCAACCGCATCGCCAACGGTAAACGGTTCGGCCTCCTCTTCATCATCTATGTCGGCTTGCTCAAGAATGGAGGAGCCTTCCTGCCCAAGGTCAAGCCCATCCAATTTCTTGTCGAGCGCATCAAGATCAAGGTCATCGTCATTGTCCACCACGCGCGCCACCTTGAACGCTTGGTGGATCTTCTTCAGGAGCGGTCGCCTTAGAGTAGGTGTTATGGACTGCGTGAAGTGTTTAGCACCGAGGTGGATGACATGCTCGAGACACCTGCGCGTGGGGCAATTGGCGAGTGAGAGATGCATCTGTATCATGTAAATGAAGTACTTACATGATACGCCGTTGCACGGTGATAAGCCTCAGGATCGTCTGACCCCCGAAAACGCGGATTCAGCACATCATACAAGTGCCCCGGAGCTTATTCGACACAGCGCTAGCACGCCTCTAGGCTTCTATGGGCTCTAAAAGACTTTTTCTATTTAGCTCCGGACTTCCCAACATCCTCGAGGCGTACTCGGACCCATTCAGCGATTTAGCTCCGCGCACCGAAGCTCCGGAGTGACTTAACCAATGCGACTTCTAGCTGCATTAGCTCCGGGACCCGCGGACACTTCTATCGAGGGGCGTCTTCCTCATGCCCACCCTCCAGCACTCACTCCCCCTCGTTTCCGTCAAGATACCGAAGGTGCGGACGCATACGAGTCACCATAAGGTCAGCATCAGTCAGCAAAACGGCCGGAGGTAATTAACACGTGACCGGCGTGTCGCACGGAGTGATGGGACCACTTGGGTCAGGTGGCGAAGCATCGAGGCGACCTATAGGGGCTGGAAAGAGCAAGTGGGAGCGCAAGAGAGTCGTATGGTATATGGTATAGCGGAGGAAAGTGCTGAGCAATCCTGTGGGTAGCGGCGTTTATTTGTTATTTATCTCCGAACGGTCGCAAAGCCATTCCTGTAGTATAAATTGTACAAAGTAGCATACAGAAAAATAAGTTTCGACTTCACCATCTCAGAGAATTAGTGTTACGATCTCAGCGACCCGAGAAGTTCGAAAGCGTCGAACCTAGCGAATTATACCCGATCCTAGCTTTGCCAATAGGCCTGACTCGTCGAGTGAATTAT